TTTCAGACAGGATTTAAGGAAGCACCGCCAATTCCTGATTTAAGCAAAAAGGTACAGCTATGTAAAGTGAATTGGTACGTGAATTATCGCCATTTTTATCGGATATGTAGCCACTGTAACATTACTAGTTCATTCTTAGTTAAATAATGAATAAAAACCAACTCCTAAGATGCTTTAAATGTCCTGTCATTCAAAATTTAAAAAAAATGTTGGGCATTAAATATAATTTATTAATAATTTATCAAATATCACATATATCATTAAACAGTAACACTTTATTCATAAGAAATAAATAAGTCTTTCACCGTTCTATCTAAAGTACTGTTCTGTCTCTTCTTCATAATTCTTCGTAATCACATTTTGACAGAAAAAAATTAACTCTAGTTAAAACAGCGCAGACTAATTTAGTTTTTATGAATAAGGGAGTATATTTTAAATGAGTATTTAAAGAGAAAACGTAAAGCGGAAGCAGACAAAATTGTTCGGCTAATTTTAACTACTATGAAATTAAAATTCAATTATGTTTATCGATTTCTAATTTATAAGTAATGATCGTGTTTCAAATTAAACCATCTGTACACATTTCACAAACGTACTTAGCATAATTGAAACTAGTCCGTCGTTTAAAAATGTATAATATTTCATTTTAATACATATTTATATTATTATATATATATTTGACTCGTCCTGTTAATATTACAAAATAATACACAGGACGAGAGCTCATGACCAAATTTTTGTTTTAACGCAATATCGCCAAAACCGCATCAAATTGATAGATTCGATTATGCTAAACTCGAAAATTACGAGTTACGACACAGGCTTTTTTTGTCACAGCAAAAATCGCCTCCCACTCAGTTACAATTTACCGTTATTACCCAGTATTATAGTCAGGTTAAGAATTGTATAATAATTTTACGATTTTATAATTTCGATGATACATAGTTTTGGTCGTGTTATACGAATATCGTCATATTTACTGATAGGTTATTGTAGACAGTCTTTTGACGGTGTCGCTAAATAGTTTGTCTAAATGTGAGACGTATTTTATTTAAACCTTTGTATTATATTCGTAAAGTTAACCCTATTTATTCGTAAAGTTTGAAAAAGGTTCTATATTTCACGCTAAGCGATACCTCTGATTGTCAATTCTTTAATTCAATAATAAATTTTAGTAATGCACAGTATACAAGTTGTGATAATATTCATATGATACATAGGTATAAATCAGTAATTGCACATAAAATCTCTTGAAATTCAAAATTACTTCAAAGCTTGGTCAATAACACTTTTATTATCATTGGATGATAAAAGAATTCTTAAGTGAGTTAAATAATAAGCATTTGGTCTTGTGCCAGGGCGTAACGAATGCATCTCAAATATAAAAACATTAGTTAATATAATTTCTGACTCAACTTTTCTCATTGTGTTATCTCGATTTTATGGCATTGTTTTTATTTCGCAACGGTGCAGCGTTTCAAGATTTCATGAATTGTGAGTCTGGGAAAACTTAATACCTACAATATGGTAATTACTATGCAATGTTTTTATTTCTAGTGCATATAAAGCAATAATGTTTTTGTAAAATAATTGTTTTCTGTGGGAAATAAATTACCTCATTGTAAGTCAAAAAGTTAATGAGGCAAAAAAGTTTAAAAGTTTCCTTGACCGAAGCGCATTAGTAACAAAAGCACAGGATTCATAGATATAGAATATCATAACGCAATGAGCTCTCATATGTTTATTTTTCAATATAATATAGTTGGTAAATGTTGCAATAAAGAAAAACAATTTCTAGACTTGCTAACCTTGACTCAACAATTGTTTCATTAGTCAGTTGAGGTTTTAATTAAGAAATGTGGAAACGCAATTAGACTTGAAGCTGTAATTGGTATTTTGTCAAATTGGTAAGAAAATATATTGTGCCCACAAAAACCATTCTATGATTTAAATTCTGCATACAATTATTTAATTTTGCAGTACCTTATAAAGTTTTAATTTTAATTTTCTGTAATTCTGGTCTCTGATTTTTTGACATCATACGTAAATAATGATTATGACTCACATTGTCTTGGGAGTATCCAACTAAAACGGCATTGTATGCAACCAAATTAAGAAAATAACACAGTATATCTTAAATGAGTCATAAATTACAAACTAACCAAGAGATCAACTAATCTGCTGACATTCCAAGATAATAGGAACAATATAGATAAGGGTGCATTTTGTTTTGATAGTTAAAGGTGACTGGATTATAATTAACAACATTGAAGTGTCAGTATGCTTCATTGACTTTTTTCAGTGTTTAACCACTTACCAAAGCTAACAGTTATTATTTTACTGAGAGTCCCAGGATCTATTCCTTAAATAGATATTTTGAGTTAGCACCTCAGCCATAGTGGCTGTGTAGTCAGTAAAGGGGGATCGCCTTTACTTGGGAAGCTGATAGGTAGCCATACTGGTCTGAGATGGTTGTGCATTCAGATGACTGCATAAGGTTAATCTTTATAGTATAGTGGTGGTCACAAACCAGAATTAACAATTGCTATATATAACATTCACATACATACTTGGTACCCATTTGTAAACAAACAAAATTATTAAGAGTTAAGTCAGGATTATAATACTAATTAATAATACAAATAAAAAATATGCTAATCTTTAAAAATATCACAAAGTATTAAAAGACTCAGCATATCTAAACAAATAGGTTAATATAAGCAGATCATATCTGTTGATTCTCAGTACAATTTAACAGTAAAGTTTATGTTAATCAGAATTAGCATGGAATGCTCTGTGGGTGGCCAGAATGTTTATTTTGTTAATGGTTGTTTATTAACATTTTATGAGTAAAGCAACCATATGTGAGAGTCAGGTATTTAAAGATTACAGAGTATTTACTAAGTATACTTCTTATAGAATATCATCTGCAGGACAACAACAACAATATGTTTAACACAATGTTTTTTACTCATCTAACAAAATAAATATATTAATATAATATTAGTTTTATAAATTTACCTCTATAAAGTTATGATCAATGAAACCGTGTGAGAAATGTGTTTGTTTCTTCCAAAACACATTATATATTTTGGTGTTGAGCTCATTGTGAGTGCCACAACAATCTACTATAGAATTATCCAAGTAAATTAAATAAAGTGGTGTCATTTAAATCAATTGTGACCTTATATCATGATGTCATAGAGCTTGACACAATAAAGCCCATTACATCTGGCCAGTGATGTCATGTTGCAAAGGTTGAGGTTGGGTTAACCTTAATTTTTATGCGCTTTTTAAAACTTTGTCTTTAAAGAATTTTATTAAATTGTTTGTTTTATACTTGAAAAAGCAATTCATTGATAACTTTTATTTATTGTTTTAATTATATGAAATACCTTTTTAAAAACAGAAATTTTAAGCTAATTAGCAAATGGGCCAAATGAGTAGAAATTTTAATTACTTACCTAAATATTTTTTTAAACATTCATAATATATGTATTTTAAATTACCCATATTTTATAAATAAAATATATAACACAACAAAATTAATGTAAAGTGATGTGGCTACAATGTTTTTAATAACAAGTTGTTTAATTCATAGTACAAATTAATTCGGATAACTTAAATTGTTGTAACTGGCAAAAATGTTAATTATCTTTATAATTAAAATAATATATCAGTAATATCTGCATCTTTATACACAAAAACATTTTGTATTCCAACAAAATTGAATGAAAGAAATGTATGTGGCAAGTGGCCCATGATAATCTGAAAAGTAGGGCATTGCCGCGCCCAGTCGTAACCACCTTCTGAGCCACATGTTCGATTCCAATTAGAACACAAAATATAATTTGAGATCACGTATCAACATTCTGTCAAAATTCTGTCTAAACTACGCAATAACATTCTGTAACCAAGGATAGCGGTATCCTTTCCGGCGTCTATGCAAATTAACGTTTTTTACAATTTCACCTACCTGTGGTTCAACAAGATCCCATTAAGACGATACAAACAGCCGGAAACCACGAATTTTTTACACAACCGTATTTTAGCACGTAAACATGAGTTGTAGACGAGTTGTAGGTCACAATTTTCAAAGGGAGAACTGGTATTTACACAAAACCACGAATCCACCTTTGTTTCACAACCACAATTACGATTACTGAAAGTTAATGGCTTTTTGGTGAAGTCACAAGAATTTATACACCACAGTAATTGTTTTCATTCATCACAAATAAATAAATCGAGACAAGAGACATTTACATCGTCCAACCGAAGATACTGAATGGCGGAGAGGGCGAGGGGCGGGGGAGCAGTGAAACGCGCGGGACGAAGGGGAAGCGTTCTCGCGTCACCCGCCATATTCGTAAATTACGTCATCGACAATGTTGCCATAACATTATTAGTGAATCTTTGTTCATAATAAATGGAGTACAACGTTTTTGTTTAAAAGTATCGGCCTTTAACAGGCAATTATTAATATTACGCGATATTAATAAGACTAAACGTGCTTCTGAGTTTTTGCACGTGCAACAACGCTTATAGTAAAATATTATATTACTTTTGAAACGTTTGAAAATCTTTGTTATTACAAACGATTGCATAAACTAAGTTTGACCACGTTCATACGATGTGGAAAATAATATTCATTGCCTGCTGTCGTATTGAGTTTTACTTTAAGTTTCATGTTCTGCAGAATACTTTCATAGTAAATTAGAAGAAGCACTTTCTGGTTTTAAACTCACAAGTCACAACCCTGTGAATTGTCAATGTCAAGTAAACCTAAGTTGATTGAATTATTTTTAATTCAATTGACAATTCATTCATTCTGCATTCATTGTTCATACTCATAGTTTCAGACTTTAGTGATTCACTACAAGAAATATTATTCATGCCTAATGCCTATTGCCTTGGCCGAACTTGTAACTAATAAATACACGTGAATTCTATCTAAGATTCAATTAAGGAAGAATAATCATGCAAGGTTCGTAATATACAAAATGTTATTGATCTTCTTGCTCGTCAACAAAAAACAAAACATTTTCGTTTGCCTACTTTCAGAATCGAGACCAGAGCTGTATGAAGAAATAAAGTTATACAGAAATGCCCGGGAACGTGAAAAGTACGTATTTAAAGATTATTTATTAATAATTGTGTATTTATACTGTTATACTTCTTTATAACAAAAAGATAAGAGTGCATTATTATTATTTTTTTTTAATATCAAGAGGGTTTTGAATTATTTTATTTTTTTATTATTTCAGGCATGACAACATGGCGGAGTTGTATGCTGTAGTGAGCACACTACAACATCTAGAGAAGGCTTATATGAGGGATTGTGTACGAGCACAAGAGTATACAGCAGCTTGTAGTAGACTTCTTGTTCAATACCGTGTTGCATTCAAGCAAGTACAGGGTGATGAATTCCCCACTATTGAGAGTTTTGTCAGTAAATTCAGGGTATGTATACACTAATCAATGAAATTAAATGTATCATAATTAATGTATCATTTCGATAAAGTAATTTATATAAAAACAGGATATTTGGTTGCTTTGGAAGGTTTAATATACAAATCTATATAAAATCAAAGTACATATAATATTAAGAACTTTACATGTTTTTATATATTTCTTTTTTTTATCTTTATTACCAATAACTGGTGTATCATCTGCTCTTTAAAAATTTACACTGTAAACTTTTTTTGAAAGACCTCACCTTTCATTACTTTAAAAAATGTATTACTATTGTAGTATTTACAATAGTAATACACATAACATTTATGTTGTTTACATATAGTTTTAATATAAGTATATTAAAATTTACTTCAAACAAGTGTTTGAACAAAGCAACTAATAACCAACTTTCAAGCATGTAATAATTGTTTTATAGTTAGACTGCCCTGCTGCTCTTGAGAGGATAAGAGAAAATAAACCCAACTTGATAAAAGATGATAAGGGTAATACTAATAAATACATTGCTGAGATTGTATCTGTAAGTATAAAACTTTGACTCTCCTATGTTATGGTATCATAGATCTACATTTATTGAGGTCAAAAAGGACTACCTTTTTGGAACATAATACAATTTTAAATAACAAATAGACAACATCAGTCATGGTTAAGAATATAGGAGGTGCAAATTACCATCATAAACTAATGGCTAAGCAGCTAGCTTCTAATTATATTGCATTTGTGCCAGTTTGTGCACCAAAATTTTTAACCTATGGCTGCAATGCATGCTCATATGGTCAAGGTAACTTCTGAGAAGCAAAACATTGCTGGAATGTCAGGCATAGTATAATCACATACTTAAGAAAATTATCAAAGAAACAGTGAAGGAATCAGGGTCAACACCAAGTGTCACATTGTTTTTATTTTAGTAAAAGAATACATTAAACATTAAATTTTTCTACTGTAATGTCTTTTAGCTATTTATAACACTCATGGATAAGTTACGACTGGATTTACGAGCTATGGATATGATTCAGCCAGAGTTAAGAGAACTTAAAGATGCCATGGACTGCCTGACGATGCTTCCTGAGGACTTTATTGGAAAAATTAAGGTATTCTAAAATGTATTCAGATGGATTCTTCTTGTCAGAATGTATAAATGAAAACATTAATCTAAAGAAGCTGCTTAAAGATGTTTCTGCAGGAATTAGGATGTTATTTGGTATTTTTTAATTCAGCTTTGTAAGTTTGACCACCAGCAGTTAGTAATGAAATTACATTAACAATTTTGTTGCAAATTTTAGCTCCCACTCAATTCAGCAGTTATATTGGTCCTTATTTTAAGAGATTGTTTTAATTTGAGTTCAATTCAAATTTAATTTCTTTCAGGTACATGAATGGCTAGAAACGTTATCTGCAATGTCAGCATCTGATGAACTATCTGAGGCTCAGGCGAGGCAACTTGTGTTTGATCTCGAAACGTCGTTGGGAGCCTTTAATAAAACACTACATTAATTAAGTAAGGCTGACCTGTATCTTAATTTCTTATTTTAAAAAAATATAACAATTTACAAAATATTCTACAATCTCTGATATATTTTTGTATATCTGTCATTTCTAACCAAAAGAAATCCACAACCTTTCTAGAAAATGTTGAGCACTTGATCACAAGAAACAATGAAATGAAACTATGATTCTCCTTTCCTTTGCTCTTTCAAGGCCCTATATCTCTCTGAAGACAAACTTTCTGCGTCTCTTTTTTTTTTTTTTTTTTTTAATTTATTTATTAGCCGGATACAAAGTCCATTGGCACTCTGCGTCTCTTTATACCTAAGTGTTGCCATTATGTGGTGTAAGGTACTGGAAAGTCGAAAATAATATTAACAATAACGCGTATATTTAGCTTCGAGCCTTTAAATTTTTTGATTTTGCGTTTTAATTTCAATGCGTAAGGATTTCACCAATCGTTGCAATTTTTGTACCTTAAGAGAGGATTCTAAATTTTTTTTCGCCATATAATTGAAACGCTACGCTTATTCGATACACCGTGAGCAGTTCTTCACGGATGTAGTGTTCGCAGTTGCCGGTGACGTGGATGTTGTGAACGGGGATGTTGTAGTCGAAATCGCAAGGCATGTGAGCTCGTTATAGGTGACTGCTGCATCATTGGGCATTACAGCAATGCGTACCGTCCATTTACCTCGTTTACCATACGGAATAAAATCATATTCTGAAAAATGTAGGCAACATATTGAGCATTTGTTCGTCGGATTTCTGCGTCAAAGCGGGATTGTCGGATCTATCGATATGTATAAAACGGTCATGAATTCAATAACAAAGACTCACATTGCTTCATATTTTGGGAAACGAGCTGGTTCGAACTGGTACAGCCTTTCCGAGCACACAAATCGTAGACGAGCATTTTAATTGTTGTTGTACCAAATCATTCGTAAAACTTAAAGACCGTGGCCTAACTGAACAACACACGCTAGAACACGAAGCTAGCTACACGAAGAAGAGAGAGCGAGAGAGACGGACGTTGCCCCTGTGTATCTTAAGTACGAGAGCAAGAGAGACGGACGTTCCCCCAGTATATCTTAACTACAAGAGAGATAGAGAACGACGCCAGCGCCGCCAACTACGAAATAAACGGGGGGCCCACTTGGAATCGGCATCTCAGGCAGTCGATGGCTTGATAATAGATCCTCCCATATCCGTCGTTGTATCTGCTTTCGCTTTCTGCGTCTTCGACGTAATAAAGCCAGCTGTAGTGTTTCCTCGCCAGAATCCATTTTGCTATTGAGTGTACAAAACGCGGAAGGTACGCCGCGAGCTCGGGTCCTCGTCGCGGCGTGTGCGCTTCGCAGTCGCGTCTCTTTCAAATCGCTCGCTAATCGTCAGTGTGTAAAGGCCCTAAATCCTTATGGTCTGCGCTTCTATCCTCCGTCTGAATTCGTTGCCTATATTTATTAATTTAATATTTCCTATTATGAGATCAGACTATAGGTATTATATTAATATTATATATATTAAAGTTATTTACTATTTTACCAGACATTGTTTTTAATTAATTCTGTAAGATTCACACAAATAGATAAAATTTGTGTGCCGCTTACATCCTCAATTTATAGTTGAACGCAAGTTTTCTATTAATTTTCCTCCTAATATTGTAAAATGTTGTATTTTATTTTATTAATATTTTTTTATTTTTGTTTCAGATCTAAACAAAATTTGTAGTGGGGATATAATAATAATATATTTTACTTTTTATTCATTAAAAGTGACGATTTCATCAGCAAACCATTTATATTATATGTAATCAATATATGTGCCATTTTTAATAATTTTCTAGTTTACGACTTTTATGCGATAAGAATAATAAGGCATTTTATGTTCTTCAAACATGACTGCCCGGTTGATTATATTTTCTATTTTGTTCTTATGCATAAAAGAGGTAAGTAAAAGTCCCTAAAAAAGTAGGTACCTACTTATTATTAGTTTTCAATGTAACTAAATATATTATTGCATTTCTAAAGAGAACACATTGAAGAATATTCACGTAATTATTATCTTAATAATCAAAACTTTAAAATGGTTTCTCCACTTAACACAATCTACAGAAGTAAAATCAGTATTGCCACTGTTTCAAACGTGAATTTTCCCAGGACGCAACAAGTCAATTTCAAAGCCTTGACAAAAAGTTTCATTTGGTATCTGAATCGTATCATATGGCCAAAACTTTATTTATACAAGGAAGAAATAATTACGATCAGCTAAAAGAGAGATCATTAAATACCACGAATATGTTCCTTGACTTAGTTGAAATGTTAAACGATTTAATGGCAAAAGAATTAAGAAGTGCCGTTGTCAAATTTTATAAAGTAAAATTTTTACACGATTTCTCAAACTATATCATACATATGGAAGAGGTTGGTATCAATAAAAAAGCTAAATAAGTATAACTGTAAAGAACGTATAATAATTCATTAGATTTTGATCATGTTAGATAATTGATATAGTGGATCACTGTCTCATAGAACCTGTTGAGAAAATAAAATTCATAAGAAACCAATTTTATGTATTGATAAAAAATTTTGAAGACGTGAGACATTTTGATACAGTCGATTTATGTCACAATGAATTACCCGATGAAGTTGCTGTAGTTCACTGTATACTTCATCAAGCTGTTTTGTAAGTATATTAAACTACTGAATATTAGGTACTATATTAAATATTTTATGAAGAGAAAACGTATTTTTGATAGGTTTAATGAAACTATGCAAAATGATCTAGTTGCTGTTGTGGAGATTAAAACAAAAAAGTGTGCACAAGACGTTAATTCAACTTTATATGCGGTGCAAGAGTGTCTCCACCAGTTTGTTCCTAATTTCTTTGATCAACTCCTTGTCGATGCCTATTCAGGTTTGATACATTCTTAATTATTTAAACTCAATAGACGTATAGACACTTACTTTAATTTTTTCTACAGAAAACTGTGAATATTTAAAAGTAGTTAACGCTTCAATGTATGATTTTACAACAGACACGTGGCGAAACAGCTATCAGGCGTTATTTCCCCAGAAATGGGGAAATTTCGTTAATATCCTAAAGACAAAGTAAGTAGTAAGAATAATATAGGATTCATGAGTAATATGTGATAATTTTAAATAAAATTATTATTTTAGGTTAAAATCAGCAAATGAAAACATACAAGAGCCTCTATATATGACTCTTTTTTCTGCTAATATTTCATCACATGATATTGTTAAAGCTCTTTACATATAAACATGTATAGAACGTCTTTTAATATCACGTATAGAATCATATTAATTCAATATGGTTCGTAAGTATATCATACCTACTAAAAATCTAAATAAATCGCCCTGGTTGAAAGGAAACAATTGCTTCATTATGATGGCTATACGGCTTACGATAAGAACAGAGACGAGACTTAGCGCTAAGTTATTGAATCTTAGCCTTGTCTTCAAATAATTTCAGAGGCAAGCTATTACTATTTACTGCTGCGTAAGCTTTTGCGCCATTCATTCATTCAGTTTTTGTAAAGTGTATACTTATAAGCGTCAGTAATAAAGGTTAAGTATTCTCAATTTAAATTTACGGCCCGTTCTTAAATCAAGGGCGTGTAACGGACAAAGAACTGGCAAAAATTCTCCATCGCTCTTTTAAACCGCTTTTTTTTACAAAATGTATGTATGACATTTTGAAATATTGGGGAGCATGACGGTTCTGGAACTATGAGGTTGGTCAGATAAATAAAAAATGTTCATAAAATAATTGATCATGGTTTTCTTGGGGACTTCCCCGTAATAGCCCAGATCCCTACAAATTCATGATCCACCCACCCATGTCATGCCATGCCTATATAGTATATTCATTATCTAGTAACAGACGATCCGAGTGAGGTCGTTCCATTTACATTGATCTTTTGAATTTTTCCGCTCATAATGCTGTAAGCTTTTCCGCTAATTCAATAGTGTTGATGTTTATTGACAAGGATTTCGTGATGGACACAATCAAAAGCCTTTGATAAATCGTAACAATTGTGAATCAGTAAAACCATTCTGCAACTTTGCAAAAGATTATGATTATTGAAGTGGGTCATTGAGTTTAATTGCTCAAGCATTATTTCATAAAATATTTAAACAATGCAGGCAGCATAGATACGAATCAAAATATTTATATGTTATTACTCTCAGTTTATGAGATTAGATAACGTGTATAAAACTGTAGATAAAGAGGTATCCCAGTCTTGTTATATTAAAGTGTTTGTTTTTTAAAGCATCGCTAAGCAATAGTTTAAGAAACTTATTAGAGGCTACTATTTATCTGTGATAATTATTGTGTTATGTTTTTACCAGTGGTGGTAATAGAGCTATTGTGAGAATATCTACATTATTCTAACGGTAAATTTAAACGTTACGTAATATACAAGAGTCATTCGGTGTTCAGAATCTCACCCTAAGTTACAACAAACTCGACAATCACTAAAAGTTCAGCCCTGCGATTCTGTAACTCACTTTTCGAACTCACACAGCGGTTTTCGCATCGGCGGTCGCTCTCAAATCAGTCGTGAAGCAGTAATTTTATGATTTGGCATTTTGAAAAGGTGGGAGCTTGTAGTTTATTGTTTATCAGAATGTCAAATCATAAAATTACTGCTTCACCACTGATTTGAGAGCGACCGCCGATGCGAAAACCGCTGTGTGAGTTCGAAAAGTGAGTTACAGAATCGCAGGGCAGTTCTATAATCTTTTTAGATGTGTCACCTGAATCTCCATTTAAGTTTAAAGTGAGGTCAGAGCCCAGAGGTGCGACAATGATGACAGTTTACATTATTGTTTTTTCTTGATGGTGATTGGTGACGCCTCGCTTACTTCAAAGTTCAAAAGCTAAAATTAAATTTCAAAACAATGTGTTGTGGTTTGTTTTCGTTTGTGTGAAGTGAATTATTTTAATGATAGCATGATAAAAAATTACGAATCAAAATGCCTAAAGCAATACGTAAAATGCTTGAAAATGGATATTCTTACGACGAACCCGATCGAATGCCGAACAATATAAATATAACATATCTTGATATCTTCATGTATGTTGTTGCCATTGTGGGCCATTTTATAGACTTAGGATTAGACATAAATGTTGCCGTACAGTATTGCTTATCTCGTAAGATGATGGAATTTGGTTGGACCTTGGTTTTTATACTTTTACCGGCATTTGTGAATACAGCTGTTTCTGTTCGAATGTAAGTACCTGCTATTCATAATTTATTTTCTCAGTTCAAATAAAGGGGGTAAATAAAGCCTTAATTGCAACATACTACTCATACTTAAATATAAATATAATTACTTGTAGCAAAGGTTATTTGTAAATAATGTTGAAAAGATAAAATCTCTATAACTGATACATTCTTTGTAACTAAACTAAAACATGATTTTTAACATAGTAATCAGTAATTTCATGATGTTAGTTATATATTTATATTGTAATACATACATTGCTTTGTTGCCTATCTTGTTACCACAGCAAGTTTACTAACCACTGTGTAATATATTATGATTAATAATAAATTTATATGAAATAATTAACAAGAACACATACTACATTAGTGAAATGATAACACATAGTAGTAGACATTATTTGAGAAAATTCCTTAGTTCCTAACATAATTAAAATTAGTAATACATTTAAATATATTTATAGGTACTCTCAAGACAAGCAGCAAGATTCATTAAGTAATGAGTTCACAAAGAGAAAATGGCTTCGAATATTCATACTAGTACTTCAAATGGCACCTATTCTACGATTTGCTGATGCTCTCATGTAAGTAAAATAACTTTGAAAATCAATGTGAAATGCAGGAAAACCTCACAGAGTTAATATGTTATTGCAATGTTTCATCCATGAAAGGACTGAAATAAAATAAATTTAATAAAACAAAACATTAATGTAAACTGATAACACAAGCAATACTTTCTCTTTCTTTTTCAGCTATGCAATCAAATCTCGTCGAGCTGCCCATAAACATGATCAGGCATCCCAGAGAATGTACTATAGTTTAATGCTAAAAGAGGATTCAGATGCAGCATTACTTCGAATATTTGAATGCTTTTTAGAAGCAGCCCCACAACAAGTTTTACAGACCAGTTTACTGTTGCGACAGTATGATCAGCTGGCTAGTAAGTTTGTTCAATTTCAGACCTATAACAGTAATTTTAAAAAAATATTCAAAACTGATAAATAGTTTTGAATATTTTGGTCTAATCACTCGTGTCTCTTTGAAAAAAACATAATTTGACAAAACATTACTAATGAAAATTACACCTTAAGGCCGTTTCTCCATTGCTCCGGTCCGGCAAACGTCAATTACCGATCCGATTTGGAAACACACAACAGTACTTACGTACTTCTCCACTACTCCGGCATCCGGTTTTTAACGATCCCATAACTTGCTAGATCGGAACGCGGTTTTTTATCAGTCCAAGTATCCAAGAGGTTATAAATTATTATTCCCAGGTTTATTTCTAGTTTCTTTAATTTGAAAGAATCTGGATAACCTGGACCAAACCAAATTATGTTGCTATTTATTTACATTTTTATACCATAATATTAGTGAATTATTTATTAAGTAGATTATAATATTTTAAGATATAAAAAAAGTAATAAACTTGCCAGGGCAATTAATTAGAAGAATTAGAAGCGCAATCCGGCCTTCCGATATTTTTCTCATGACTCATTCCGGTATCCGACGCCGGACCGGAGCAGTGGAGAAAGGGCCTAAGGGTTCTATCTTTCATAACATATTTGGCAACAACTGTTGATAAATTGTTGTTGATGAAAGCATAGATTTTAAATAAGTGTAAACATATAATATATAGTTGCAATTTTACAGTAATAAAATTGTTAGTAAAATAAAAATAATAAAATGTACAATTCACAGTACACCAACTGCTATCTATCTGCTCATCAATTGTGGGCATGGGATGGTGTCTTGCAGCTTATCAGCGAGCCGTGCGATACGCACAGCAAAATAAAAACAATATTACGTGGTATGGCACTGCATTACAAGTGGCCTGGCATTTCTTGGTTACATGTAAGTCAGAATATATAAAAGATACAAAATTTATCTAAAAATCACTAGTTTATAACACTTTAAAAATGAGTTGGGATTAATTAATTTTACAAATCTTATTATTTTCAGTGAGCCGAATCACATCAATATCAATAATAGCCTACCTCTTTCCTTACTGGACTGTTCTTGCCTGCACTATACATATTCTCATCATGACAACTTGGTTACAATTAGTTGACCAATCAACATTTTGCTCTCAAAATAAATTAGCTGAATTCTTTTTCTCTCTAGCATTAGGAGCAGTATACTTATTTACATATATTTTACCAGTTGAAGGCCGCACAAGATATAGATATGCCTTATACTACACTATATGTGGAATACAAAATGTTATATGTGGTATATTATGGTTTTTATTTGTAGATGAGGAAATGAGAATATCAATATATTTTTATCCAGTTCTAGTTACAAGCATTATTCCATACATGTTAGGTTTAGTCTTTATGTTGATGTACTATGGATGCTTCCACCCAAAAGTTAGTGTTACTTTATCGGTTTCTTTTAAAGGTGATGATGTGGAAGTAAGTTAAAAATATTATATTTTCAATAAAAAGTACAAAATGCATTTCTACAAATAAGTTACATTTTCACTGTTAGAAAGATGAAATTAGAAAAAGGAAAAGAACTTATGCCATTAAGAACTAGTGATATATTTTTTATAAAAAATATTTTTTTAGCATTAGAACATACTCAATTTACTATTGTAATGTATAAAAGACTTAATAGATTTAAGATATCTTTAAAATAAATATTCTGAATCTCTTTTTTGCTAACCTTAGTAACACTTTTTAAAATATATTGTTTTAAGAAGTTTTGTATTTTACTTACAGTCCCTATATAATAAAGTAAACATTATAACATCTGCATTTTATTAAAAGAAAAGCCTTTATATATACATATTTACAGATAGACAGAACAGTTTATAATTTTAACATTAGAAAACAAGTATATTTGTCAAATATTCACCAAATAAATGGTGCTCTTTCCCGCAAAACCTTAAGTCCGTGTTTGTTCCATTCACTCTGATTTATCCACAGCTCAATAGCAGATTCTAAACATGACATCACAGCTGCTCCTTTCCATACGGTACTAGCAGGATCAATATCTTTAGGTGATGTTACTATTTCTAATTGTTCAGTTTTATATGCATATGGAATTTGTAATGCAAGTCTATTTTGCAACCATAGGTTAAGTCCAAGAACTTTAACACCTCCTCCAACAATGAGAATACTACTGTACATTTTTCTTTTAAGTTCTTCATTAGGACATCGATCTATACTTTGTAATATAGCTGCATCTAAGCTTAAAACTTGACCAGGAGCTAAAGTGACAATGTCTCCCGGCCCTCCTTCTAATGTATCAACAACAATGTCTTCTTCCGTGTTAGTTGAAGGCTGAGCTTCATTTGCTGTTTCTGTTTGTTGCTCAGCTGCAGATGGATCAACTACTTCCTTTTTTCTTCCTGTTTCTCTTAAAAATTCAGCATCAAATGGATCTTCTGGGTCACTTGGTTGGCGATTTTGAATTTTTGTTGTTTTTATTCCTGTAATTTTTAATAAATCAGTGTAAAAGAGTGCCAGTGGTGATATAATACATTCATCACCTACTTGTAAAGTGTATTTATTAACAATGTCACCAGGATGGTCTACTAAAAATGTTTTTTCTTGAGGCCCACAAACATCAAGATTTACATGGCAAAAATCATGATAAAGATTCCTCATTAAAATAACATCTCTAGGTATATTTTCATTCCAATCTTTGTAGGGAAATGCACTTTTATGAAACATCCATGATAAAGCTTGGCAGACATCCCCAGCTCCATAATCCATACGTAACCGTGTGGTCTTGTGTGAAATGCCATCTTCAACGCATGATATTGCAGTCTTTTGGTCTCCAATATCCACAACACAGGCTGATCCTATACCTGCCCCAAATGTGGCACCAACACTTTCCTGGACTAGAAAACAGTCACCAAAACCTAAATCTCTAAGTAAAAGTGACATTAAATATTTTAAATGACTTCTATTGTAAATGTCTGGTATTAGTAAAACACAACGGTACTTCACAAGTTCAATGAGTGCTATTCCTAATTTATATTCAATTATAGAGCTCCAAATTGTATATAAATCATTTAAAACTGATGAAATAGAACCACCTACTTCAGAATGTATGTTAAAATCTCCTCTTTTATATGGAAAATGTATATTATATGGTAATTCCGGATCTACATCAAGGACTAAATCTCCTATTATAATATCACACTCAACTTGAGGCCATGGCTCACCATCACTTACAGCTTCAGGTAATGATCTACGATTGAAAGCAGCTATTTGTTGTGGTGGTGTAGCATATCTTCTTGCTCCATTTGACTGCATGCATGATTGTAGAGTATGAGATATTTGCAAGCGACATTCTTCTAATTCTTCAATAAGTTCTTTAGTTTTAGGAACACTTGGTGGAACGAAAGAATCTCGATATATTTTACCTTCAGGGCGACGTTTTCTTGCAATGCAGTGTAGTTGTCTTACAGGCAGTAGATCCGAAGCTCTACCTATACGAACGTAGAAAGAACCAGGATGAATTACTATAATCCTATTCGAAGGAAATTGTTGAAATGTCTCAGGACCGGTGTCTTGTACACTACTCATAACGTTTTGGGATAAAACACTTATAACAGAAATATAGATAATTATTATCTAACTAGTCAATAATTAATAAAATTTTGAGATCATGAAATTCTGATATATTTAAGACACTGATCACACAAATCAATAATATTTATAGAAAACATGAAACTTTTTAATAATAGTCAAATTTATACCAATGTGTGTGCGTACTGCGTACGCCGTACACTTCACTTCACTTTATTTATAATGGCGACATCTGTGTAAATCACAATTCCGCCAATGTCACGTTCTAAGTCTTCACACAGTGAGGATAGATTTGATAATTTTGATACATTGAATTTTATCTAAGCAGAGTTACCCAAAACAAAAATGACATCACAATAAATACAACACACACAGAAATCTAATAATATATACAAGAGGTTAACATTTTACTACAAGGTATGAAGGGGAGAATCTTATTTATAACTTTAATTTATTAACAGAAATAAATTTCCCTAATATTTTGACGATCGAGCTGGATGGGAGGGAAAGTAGGGAGTTAAGGTTACATGGACGAGGGAAATCTGGAGAAAGATGGTCAAATAACGAGTCATTATTTAAAGAACAGTTAAAAAATATATGGTCTGTCGAGCCCTCGTCCATACCACACTCACAGAGAGAACTGTCTTTTATTTTAATTTTGGCTAGATGAACGGGAGTACAAGCGTGCCCTATACGAAGACGGCAGATTATAGACGTGACCTTTTTGTTTAAAAACTTATATTTAAAAAACCACGGCGAAGAAGGGATTGAATACTGAATATTAGCATAGTGCCTGCCAGTTTTTTCTTTAGAAGATTGCCAATCAATAGTCCAGGATTTTAAAAGGTGGGAGTACGCAAGAGCTGATAGGTCGTGGGCTGAGATGTTGGGATGCTGACAAGATCCGCAGAAAATAGCACCTTTTGCACAAGAGTCAGCAGTTTCATTACCCGCTATACCACAATGACTAGGTATCCACAAAAGTACAATATGAATATCTTTTTTACTACACCTAAACAAAGCTTCTCTTATTTTTAGAATCGTATTATGTTTTTTTTAGACCTGAATGGATTGGAAAGCATTGCCTGTAAACAGCTGCGAGAATCGGAAAAAATTGTAACTTTATTTAGGTTGTGGGACTCAGCATACAAAACCGCTTCTAGGATTGCAAAAGCTTCACCTGAAAAAACGGAGGTCAATGGAGGAAGTTTAAAGCTCAATACTGTTTTGAATGAAGGGACCCATACAGCCGCACCGATGCACTCATTATTGGGAATCTTGGAAGCATCAGTATACATCGATAACCAACCCTGCCAGTCTTTTGAAATTTTTTCCAGAAAACAAGTGGAAGCTTGGGTGGATTTTTTTTCAATTCCAAAGTTTAAAATTATTTTAGGATCAAAAATGAGGGATTCATAACTATTTAAAAACAAGGGATTCCTAGGGAAACTTTCAACAGGATTAGGAAGACGAGAAAGTTTATTAAAACTGTGTAACAGGCATGGAACATTACCTGTACTAGATGGCATCGTGATATTAGATAAGCGACGTAATTTGGACAAGATGGAATGAGAAGAGTATTGAAGGACTTTGATGAAGAAGCGGTCACTTAAAAATTGTCTACGTAAATACAGGGGGGTCAACACATTCTATTTGGAGAGCATTGATGGGAGAGGATTTCATAGCACCAAGGATGATGCGTAAAGATTTCGATTGAATTTTGGAAATTTTATCAAGGGCTTGCTTGTTGCCAGGATCTAAAAGGAAGGTGCCATAATCAAAATGACTTCGTACCACAGCATTGTATAAAAGCTTTTGAGTAGGGGTGTGCTCCCCACCTCACACCAGATAATGAACGGAGAACATTAACACCCTTCTCACTTTGATTCCTCATTTTAACCATGTGATTAAATCACATGGTTAAAATGAGGAACACCGTTTAACTTTGAGTCTAAAATAAGGCCTAAAAATTTTACTTGCTTACAACACGATACCAAGGACCCTTTATATGAAATGTTACACCGTGGAACCTTGTATTTTGTAGTAAACGTGACCGCCGAACATTTGGGCACAGAAATAGAGAGACCATGATCATTTAACCAATCACCCAAATAATCCAAAGCTGAATTTAGGCGTGATGATGCCTCTTCAATAGAATTTGATGAAAAGTATAAGGCTACATCGTCCGCGTATTGAAGAATCTGACAGAAGGAATTCACAACAAGCTCCAGGTCATAGGTGTAAATGTTGTACAGAAGAGGACTCAAAACAGAACCTTGAGGTAAGCCCCTCCAAATAGATCTAGGAGACAGCTCCGTATTTTGAGATCTTATAATAATATAACGATTCGAAACTGCATTGCAAACAAAACGTACCAACTTCTCAGGAATACTCAGCTGAAGCATTTTTTGCCTGAGCACCGGAACCAGCACGTGGTCATACGCAGATGCGATATCCAAGAAAACACCCACCAGGAACTGTTTCTTTTTAAAAGCAATGCGAATGTCGGTCGTTATTATACCTAGGCTATCCATCGTACTTAAGCCTTTCCTGAAACCAAACTGGGATTTTGCAAAGATATTGTTATTTTCACAAAACCATTCTAAACGAATTTTAATCAAATGTTCCATGATTTTTAAAAGGGTAAAAGACAAAGCAATAGGTCTGTATGAAGAGAAATCTGATGGATCTTTGCCAGGTTTTAGAAGCGGAATGACGATTTGTCTGTTCCACGATTCAGGAATAATTCCAAGATCGAAAAAACAGTTTACTAAATCTAGAAAGTACCTCTTAGTGCCTAATGCAGCCAATTTGTCGGCAAAGGAGGTAATCCAGCTAGACGGATCATTAAATGGGACATCATAAGAATTGAGGGAACAACGGAATCTTCTGATCTGCCTCCAAACAACAGACGAAGGGGTACCAGGGCACATGCTCTCACAGAACTTATGCCAACCAAGACGTTTCTTATTATTTAGAAGTCTGCGAGCAGCTGCAGAAGCTTGTTGGTAGACTAAAAAATTTTCCAAGGTCATGCAAAGACTGTATGACCTTTCTGCCGTTTTTCTTTTTCGAATCATCTCAGTACATTCGGAATCCCACCAAGGAGGAGAAATTTTCCTTTGTGTAGAAGATTTGAGTGGAATATGTAAACTGGCAGATGAGGTGAGGGAGTTGACAAAATCATTGTATGAAGATAGGCAGTTTTCAGCAGAGACTGCGGGGAGCGCAGCTATCTTAGAGTCAATAGAAGATGAAAAGTCTGACCAATTGGCCTGATTCAGTTTAAATTTTAAAAGAGGGGAAGGGCGAGTAACGCTCCTTAAATTGGTTGGGAGATCAATTAAAATGGGGAAGTGGTCACTCCCACAAGTGCTCTTAAAAACACGCCAGGATAGAAAAGGGAAAAGATCAGGAGAACAAAGTGATAAATCCACTGCGTTAGCGGGATTCTGAGATGGAAGACTCCTTCTCGTAGGACAACCATTATTCAAGACACTTATGTTTATATCATCGAGTAAATCTAGTAGAAGGGACCCAAAAGAATCTGAGGAATGACAACCCCAAGAAACATGGTGGGCATTGAAATCACCCAACATGACAACAGGAGGAGGAACCGAAAGGATAATAGAACGTATATCAGAAATGAGGTCGAAATGGGGGTGGGGAATATAAACAGAAATAAACGAGATATTAAAAGCTCTCATAGCAACAGCATTGATACCATCACAATGAGGAAGAGATAATGCGTGGAAGGTGAGGGATCGGCTGACCAAAAAGGCACAGCCAGCATAGCCATCATCCCTGTCATCTCGGAGACACCGGTACCCAGAAACCCTAAAGCGGGAACCCGGCAATAACCAAGTCTCCGAACTGGCTAGAATAGATGGAGCGAATTTATTGATAAGAAAGGTTAATTCTGATTTTTTACTGCGAATACTGTTACAGTTCCATTGAATTACCAGATTCGCCATTTTTGGTGACGAATGAGTGGAGCAAATTAATGTTTTGGGCAACGTGGGACGGTATGGGGATGTCATCATATTTGGATAGCATATTACAAATGACTGCCCATAAGCAGTCAAGAAGATTTTCATTTGGGGAGACTTCATTGTTGATAAGGGAAGGGAGCTTACGGCACAACCATTGGGTAAAGAGGAGGGTAAATTGGAAGTAATGGCCTCATGGGCCGCCTTATCAAAGGATTTTCCTGATGTTGGTCTAGAGCGAGGAGGGAGAAATACAGTTTTCCTGTAAGATGTAGACTGACGGGAAACTTGGGAAGGTAAAGTAATGGGCTGGGATAAAGAGGAGGGGGTTGTTTTTACAGAATCTGCAAAAGTTTTGCCATTGATAGGTCTAAACCGAGCCGATGCTTCGAGATAAGAAATGCTCTCTTGAGACATACAACTCTTTATATTTCTTTGTCGATTATGTTCAGGGCAAGCTTTGTTGGTCGCAAAGTGTGAGGCAGTACAAAATAAACATAATGACTCTGTTTCAGGGATATTACACTCATCACCAGAATGGGCTAGACTACAAACGAAAACACCTAGGCTTCGATCGGCATTGTGACTTTACGTGACCAAACCTACAACAGTTAAGGCACTGAATTGTAGGGAGTTGGTACGTTTCAACGCGGAGGGAACTATGACAAGAGAATATTCTCTCAGGAAGGGTTTGAGCTTGAAAAGTTAGAACAACGGTTTGTGTTGGGATCCAATTAATTTGACCATCGGAGTTCGTCTTGCGGTTTAGGCGTCTGGCCTTGAGGACTATACCTGTACCTTCGGGAATTTCCAAGGTTTCGACAAATTCCTGCATCGACCAATCAGCTGGGACACCTCTCACAAGGCCCATACGGGAAACATTATAGTTAGGAATCGTAACAGAATAGTTGCTGGAAGGTACAATGGGATTAGACACAAAATTATTCGCATCTAAGCCCGACTTAAACTCGACAGATATTCTATTACGTCCCACTCTCTTAACACCATCTCGAACAATGTTGGGTATTTTATTTTTTACCAAGAAGTGACCAAATTTAATTGGGCGGATTGATGTACCAGCGGATGGGTCAGATTCAGGGCAAGAAACATGGACTAAAAAGGGGCCCTTGTCATTGACAAGGTATGACTTGGGAGAGCCAGTGAGAGATGGATGGGAGTAAAATCCTGGGTTGACGTCATCAACAGATGACCGGACATCGGTCATTGGTTTTTTGGAAGGTTCCACTAAAGATTCATTGACAGTATCAAGTCTGCGCTTGACCCCAGGTTGGGGCAACAGTGGGGTGGATAAATCCATTGATTCCACCGGAGAAGAGACCCTATCCGGAGGATCAGGGGGATCTGGAGGGCGTTTCTCCATTATAGACTACCAAAAATATAACAAGGTAAAGGGAGAAATATAACAAATAAATAAAAATAACTTACGTAATTCGTTGATGTTATTAATTAACCACCACCAATAGGATAAGTCAACTTATATTCATTAAACTACGAGAAAAAATAGAAACTACTAAATAATGATATCCGAAACACGTGTAAACACTTATACCCGCAACGACGGAATCCTACGCCGTACACATTAATGATTAAATAAATTTAAAATTTTAATCGTATTGTCAAAGTTTGAGACGTATGACTGATGATTGATGAACACTGATTAGTGACTGCAGTCTACTAATATGAGTCTGAACTCTGACCGTCACTGTCATTTAGTATCTATCAGCTGTGTCAGCTGCGAGTTGTCAGTCCTTTGCGACTTCACCAATACTAGATTTGAATTTGACTTTGCAAACATTGCAGAAATATACCTAATTATCTATCTAATACTGCTCTTGTATTATTGTTAATTCTGTTTTAAATTACATTACGAAAGAGAATTAAAACAGCCTAAAAATAATGCGATAGCATATTTTAGTAGATTTTTTGTTACAGTACAAAATATACTACAAATATGGTGTCTAGAAGTTTAACTGAGGTGTTTGTATTAATGCGAAATAATGCAATTCACAGCCGAAATCTCTTTTCAGAATCGGTAATAAAATTAATAATTCACGATAACATTTAAAAATATTATAAATCCAGTCATTTACTTTCGGTTGGTTATATAGAATAATTTTGTATCATCCAAACCAGCAATTAATAAACTGAATTGACAAACTTTTCAAATTTAGCTTGAACTGTTATAGTTGTTTATTTAGGAACTTGTATCTCGAAAGATTATTATTAATTACTTATGATGTCATGTGGAAGATGGTGTAATGGTTGCAGCTCCTTACAAACGTTGTATAAAACAAAAAACATGGCGATTATAAAGAGTGGCGGGGAGTTTATTGCCAGTTCTTCTCTTCCGTTCTACGCCCTTGAATTGAGAACTGGCACTAAATGTAATGTTAGAAGCATTTCATATATATTTATTTTTTAACATTCATAAGTGTTACCTAAATGATTTAATGATTTTTGACTTTTGAAAGCGGTTACTATTGTAATTTTCTTGTAGGGATATGATAATGATCATGAAGGAGCTATGCTAATGAAAGCAACATCAGATGATATAGAAGCCGGGCTAGATATGAGAATAGAAGTTAATCCGCCAATCTGGAGTGATTCCTTAGAGGAAGCGCATTATATTATATCAAGGTTGGTATATGGTTCTTATGTAGCAATTGTTCTGATTTTCTTTTGTTTTTTACTTTCTATTAAAGGTTAATAACTTAAACTCTTTACTGTAACTTTTCAGGTTAAAAACAAAAATATCTGAGCTACAAAGTCGTCATGATCGACAGATACGACGGCCAGCTTTAGATGACAGTGGAGAGCAGCAGCACATTGAGAGACTTGCTGCTGATATAGGCAAACACTTTACACAAGCTCATGCAAGAATCACAAATATCAAAGCACAGGTTCGTCATGGTAAGTTTTAAACTGGACTTGATTTTACTTTAAAGCTATAATACTTTTTTATACAACTAAACGGTACTTGGAATACATTCCATTCACACTGACTAAAAAAGTTTAGTGAAAATTTGACCTATGTTCAAAAATTATATTGTGTGTGCATAATCACTATGATGAAACTGGTATCTTTCAGGAAACAAATCAGAACAAAAACTTGCAAACAATGTGGTATTAGCTTTAGTGACAGCATTACAAGATTTAAGTATAATATTTCGAACAGCACAATCAAACTATCTCAAGTCTCTTACATCAAGAGAAGAACGATCAAAGGCCTACTTTGACTTACCAAACTTTGAAGAACTTAGCTTAAATGATAATGACTTAACACCAGGCCTTACAAACAATCAAACAGACTTACTATTTTCTCTACCAAGTACTTCAAATTATGAAGATGAGAACCATCAAAAGCAATTGCTACTCATGGAAGAAGAAAACACTTCAATGATTGCAGAAAGGGAACAAGAGGTAAATAAAATTGTTCGCTCTATTGTTGATTTAAATGATATTTTCAAAGATTTAGCTCATATGGTACATGAACAGGGTACAATATTAGATCGAATAGATTATAATATTGAGCAAACCCAAGTACAAGTACATGAGGGTTTTAAACAATTGCAAAAAGCAGAACGATATCAGCGTAAGAATAGAAAGATTCATTGTTTATTAATATTGGCTGTTACAACTATTATAATGACTATATTATTAATTATAGTTAAAAGTTAACACTTTATTTACAATAAAGGATATTTAATTATAATAATTGCTTAAGTTTGAATTTGCTGCTTAAATTAATGCTTTTTCTAATAATTACATACATTTATATCAAAACTATTGTTCTAAATAAAGAGTAAAATTGAATGATAAATACATAGCAACTAAAAATTGTGTTATAGTAAAATAAGAATGTGGTACTTCATAGTAATAACAAGCTAGTTTTACTTGCCTTGTTAGGTCCCATATTCTTACTGACAAAGTAATGTAATGAAATGATTGTTAAATGTTTTAAAAAAAAATTTAATTAAACACTTTGCAATCATAATAGTGTCTTGTAATAGACTTCAATAAACTGTTTGTAAAATAATTCAGATAAAGTGAATTTTAATTGTGTTTATGTACCATTACAACCTTTAAAGTGGAAATCTGTTATAAAACCTAGTCTAATAATTATTTATATTAAAGTAAGGCTGTATATTTATATATTAAAGTTAAGTGTAAATAAAATTACTAACATAATCATTACTTTCCAAAACATAGATTATTATTATTTGCTGTTTGCTATTCATAAAAATTATGACTACCAAGATGTTTTGTCAAAACCTTGCTGGATCACATCATTTTTTAACAAGTATCTGCAATCTATGTAGAAAAGTATTGATAGCATTGGAATTACAGGAAATCTAACTGATATATATATTACACATATATGACCCCGCTTTTGATTTAAATATTTTACATAATTATAAAAATCATTCCAGTTATAAAATATCAATAAATGATACTGATTATTAGAAATATTTTTGTTATAAAAAATATATATTATAATGAACAACGCAAAACTTAAAGTGTAAAATGATTACTCAATAAAGCCATATTTTATGTGATAATTGGCTTAATTAGGGAAATGTTTTGTATTCATTTCTATCTTATACAACATGCTTTTAATATTATAATTTGATTATAAGCAGCACAGGTGAAAGGCAATCTCTACTGTCATTTTAACTATACAATTGCTTGCTGTTATGTAAATTTATCTCTGATTAAATAGTCCTAGATTTTATGTACATATAGAAAGGGATATTATGATATATAATAAAAACATCATCTAAAATTGCACTAAAGAATTATAATTGCCAGTGATTTACAATATACATTATTCTGTTGTTTTATTCCCGAGATAGGTGTTTGAAATAAAAAAACAAATAAATTAAATTTTAACATAATTTTGCCTCACACTCGGGTCTGAAATTAGTTTCTCCATTGCAAGCATACATGCACCACTCAAACTATAATGAAATTGGAAAAAACTATAAGTCTTTATGTTTGTTGTAAAATTCATCTAAATATTTCTTATATTCTCCCTGGTTTGCCCATAAACACGATGCCTGCTGGTTCAATGGACTCTGAGTGTTTGGTTCTGCTAACAAACTTTGTATTGAGAGTAAAACCGTGCGGACGTCATACAAAGCTGTCCATTTGTCCTTTAAAATATCTAAACATATTAATCCACAAGTGTCAACATTAGGGTGAAAGCAAGGCGTGATGAATTTAACTAACGGCGGGGCGTACGGGTATGAATTGGGAAATTCGAGTGCCAATTTATACTTATGACCAGCGTAAACGGTATCTAAGGGTCCGTTAATTGTACCAATCCATTTGAACAAGTTTTCACTTTCGGGAAATGCAGATATTCCTTTGTCAGCACACCTCATCAACTCCATGAGTTCCTTTTGCAATCTACGGAATAGATAGGCTTTGTATAAATAATCGATGAAAAGGACTTTAGCTCGTCATAATTAAACAAAACTTACCGTTTGCTTACAGCGTGATTGTCCTTCAATTTTATCGTGTCCTCGTTTTGTTTGGAAGGATTAGATGACGATGCATAATGTGGATTTATGTTTTGAGCCATAATACGATCTTAATCAAAATTCTTTAACACTAATCGGCTGTTACAAGGAGACAACTTCCTGTTTAATTTTAAAAAGCTCAAATTTTATTGGACACCACTTTTTGACAGTCGTGCAACGAAAATAATGGCGGTTTATTGGAACCATAGACACTAGACAGCTACAACAATGCAAAAATCAATTAATGCATCCTTAGTCTATGTGTTACAAAATCGTCATAATGTTATGTATAAAAAAAAAAAATTGTTATAGACGTCTTCAACATACTTTAGGCGCGTTATGAAAAGTTGATGAGAGTGAAATTTTACGATGCGCGCGCACCGTGACACAAAATTAACAGAATGAAGTTGCCCACGGAAGATGCTACGGCATTGGACATAATTTAAAAACAACATTCGAATAATAATAGAATTTATGTTACATTTAATTAATGTAAGAGAATAATAATAAATATTTATTTATTTAATTTTTCAAATGTAAACTAAACTTTATTGACTATAATGACTCCTTTTCCAGTCTTTGATTTCCAATTACAGAGCATTATGCGACTCAGTACTGCACAATGCCGCATAATGCTGAAGCTTAATTGGAACGTGAATTAGTTTTCAAATGCATCAGCAGAGTGCGCGAAGTCAGTGTTGAAAAAAAAAAATGTTCTGAATAGAGTTAGCATTTAGCAACCTCATTAATGTATACATAATGTGGTATACAATAATAATTGGTTGAAAACTTTTTACGCTTATTTTAATAATCAAATTATTTCATTAACATTTTTTTACTGAAATAAGAGAAAACCTTTTAAAGAATATAAGGTTTTAACAATCTAAATTAACTGTAAAATATTTAGTTTCATGTAAGAAGTTTACATCATTTACGTTTTGAGTAAATTTTTTTAAATGATTTCTAAAAAAATTATATACTTTTTCAAAACCATTGCAATGTTTACAAAAGTATAATCCTGTAAAATAAATTTGTTTACAGATCCGAATTTTAAAATAAAATTGTATTCATATTTTAAATGTGGAATATAAAAAAGGAACTTTTTATAAAATAAAAAATAAAATAAAATATGTTTATTATGGAACATAAGATACATGTATCACTTATTCCACGTCATTAAATTTGAAGGCATCCCTACTCATCGGCAAAGAAGACAGAGGGTGTAGGCCGAGAGAAAAAGCCGGCGTAAAAAACTCTCGGTACTCTTTTAAAACAGCAAATCATCAAACAACACTTATTTAAAACAAATATCGCAAATTGATTAGAAGTAGTCTGTCTAGCACTAGTCCCAGGCCCTTTTATCAACTAGATAATCGTTGACTTTATAGTAAGCCTTTTTACACAGCTTTTCTTTAATACATTTTTTAAATTTATTGAAAGGCAGTGATAAAAGAGCCTCTGGGATTTTATTAAAGAAGAGTATCCCTTTCCCCAAAAAAAGAATTACTAACTTTAGATAGTCTAGTACGGGGAAATTGCAGCCTGCGTTTGTTCCGTGTATTAACATTGTGCGTATGTTCTATTCTAGTAAACTTATCACTATTTTTGTATACATACATAATATTTTCATAAATATATTGCGAGGGAAAGGTAAGTATATTAATTTCCTTGAATTTATCTCTAAGAGATTCCCTACATTTTAAATTATAGATTGCACGAATAGCCCTCTTCTGCAGGATGAAAATAGTTTCGACATCAGCAGCATGACCCCATAATAATAAGCCATAAGTCATTAAGCTATGAAAGTAACTAAAATAAACAAGTCTAGCTGTATCGACATCAGTTAGTGAGCGAATTTTTTTAACCGCGTAGGCTGCAGAACTAAGTCTCTTCGCCAATCCGTTAATATGAGGGGACCACTGAAGTTTTGAATCCATGGTGATTCCGAGAAATACAGTTGTATCATCCAGATTCAATTCCTCACCGTTTATAATTGGTCTAGTATCCATAACCCTTGCATTTTTTGCACAAAATTTAATGCATTTTGTCTTTTTTGCATTAAGTAGAAGGTTATTCATACTAAACCAATGGACAATCGAAGACAGAGCATTGTTCACATCGTCAAAATTTGTTATTTGTCGTTTGATTTTAAAAATCAAGGACGTGTCATCAGCAAACAAAACTATCTGATGTTTTCTCTCTACCATGAAAGGTAGATCATTTATATAAACAAGAAAGAGGAAAGGGCCAAGAATTGAGCCCTGTGGTACCCCCATATCTACTGCCGACCCAGAGGACCTCTTACCATTCACTTCAACCTTCTGAGTTCTTCCGTGTAAATAGGAAGTCAGAAGATTCAGTGCGGTATTCTTGATGCCATAGTGGCGGAGTTTCCCGATTAAGGTCTCGTGTTGGACACAATCAAATGCTTTGGATAAGTCGCAGAAAACACCTAAAGCGTCATGCGACTCCTCCCAAGCCTTAACTATATATCTATATAACTCAACACCGGCATCGGCTGTCGAGCGACCCTTGGTAAAACCGAACTGATTATTATGCAATAATTTGTTTACGTTAAAATGACTTACCAGTTGATTTAATATAATTTTTTCAAATATTTTACTACAAGTAGGTAGTACGGAAATTGGTCTAAAGTTACTGGGGTCGGACATACTACCTGCTTTAAATAAAGGAATAACTTTACTATGTTTCATTAGATCGGGAAACTCGCCACTTTTAATACAATTGTTGAAAATTATAGCTAGATGGGGAGCAATTACATCAATTATGCTACTAATTATTTTTACAGAAATACCCCAAAGATCGGTAGTGTTCTTAATATCTATGGTTCTAAATATCCTCACTATATCGTCGGCACCAATGGGTCGGAATGAAAAACTGACCTTGCACTCGTATACCTTCATCCATACTTATATTTATTTTTTTAGCAGTTTGAAATAACTTTAATTATTTTCAAAATCTACGACGAAACGAAAGCCTTACAAATTTTTCAACAATAAATAATATTTACTAACGAAAATTTCGATAAATGCCAACTTAAAGAAAAACACTGGTAAATTTTCTGTCACTGTGTTGGTATTGATTGCGAGAAGCACCCGAGAGCATTAGTTTTGAGAGAGCTCAATTGTGCGAAGCGTTGCTGTAGTTGGAACATTCAACGTTGAGCATTATGCCGCATAATGCGCTCTAGTGCTGTAATTGAAAAACGCACAAGTACACGCACTCTTTTTTTGTTATTTATTTATTTATTAAGGAAACTAAACAGATACTGTATATAACAGTAGAAATAAAATTAAAACATAAAATAAACACATTGGACATATCCACAAAAAGTGTCACTGATAAAAAATATACTTAATACAAAGCAAAACATGACAACACAAAATTTATAAATTAGGAGAACGACAAAAATCTAGTAGCTATAATAAACGAGGAAGATACAAGGCTTAAGACATTAATAGTTTTAACTTATTCTTAAATGAAGCAGTGGAGGAGTGCGAAAAAGGGTCGACATTAGTGGCAGAATCCAAGGTAGAACACATCCTGTGAAGAGGCTCACGGAACCCAATGTTGGTTCTGGGAGTCGGAAGGTTAAAAGTTCTGTGCGAGCGTAGAGATCTGAATTGCAGCAACATTAAATGTTATTAGATCGAGAAGATTGAAACAAGTTATTTCATGTACGCATATTTTTCTAATAGTTACACAATCTATCAAATTACGCCTAGTACTCAAAGAAAGTAATTTATACTATTACTACATACTCTTTATTAGAAATAAAAATATTATCTGTGACAGACGGATTTAACGTATAACGTATAAAAATAAATAATATCTGTATTATACCTATAACAGATACTGTGTTTATTGTTCCTTAAGGCCCATTTAGATGAAGAGAGTTTCTAGCACGTATTGGTGCGAGAAATCGTTCGCGACTATCACCAGCAATAATCGCCATAGCATTATCGTATCGTATATACGAGATTCGCCAGTGATTTATTGCTAGGCGATAATTTCCTGCGTCTGTTTACACATCGAACTTTTGGTAAAAAGAAGCAACTGCCACAAAACCTCGAAATACGATTATTGCTTTTGAAATTCTGTTTACATGGACACAATAAATTTTCCATTGCGAGGCAATTGTCGCCAAAGTGGAAGAGCGAGATATGTGAATGTTTTTCTAGACGAAGAAACTTTTTTATATTCTTTCGATAATCGTACCTTCGAGACGAGAAACTCTCTCCATCTAAATAATTGGCATTTAGATTCATAATAATTATTTTATTATTTATATCGGGGTCAGGTTTATGTACGGTTAGCGAACCAGATTCTCTAAAGAAAATGTGATTTCTCACTTTCACTTTTTTCTGAATTCAATGCTCAATTATCCATGAAATTAACAGACCGCAAATAGATTACTATTCTATAAAAGCGTGCTACCAGAATTTTGTAAGATGTTTCTCGCCTTGTTTAAAAAGTATAAGTGCTTAAGATTGTTACCCGTCGTGTTGCTTTTTAATTTTACATTTATTGAATTGAAATAAACATCTATAATTATCATTATGTTGTTCAAAGTGAGTATGTTTACTGTTAAAAACACCATTATTTAATTAGCAATTGTTTTCCTTTCTTAAAAAATAATTAAACTTCAAATCACGGGCTAACGACGTACCGTCATTTTGGCTCCTAGTTAAAGGGTCTTGCTAAACGGTGTTGCAGTTATACATTTTATGTGTTTAACCTATGTGTTCATGGTAAACTTACAACGCAGAAACATTGAAAAAATCGAGGTATCAGGTAAAAAGTTCTCGACGAGCCACTAATTACAAATGTCAATCCATATGTGCCGGTTTACGGTTAATGTCTGTTTTTGTCTATGGCACATATTATAATATTATTAAAGTCTCGTACTCCCCGAGTTCAGACTCTGAAGTCTGAACTTCAGAGTTGATTCTATTAAGTCTGTGGAGTGTAGAATTTAATATCTTAAAAAGTAAACTATATACGCAATTACGCTCATCACTCATGTTATTATTCTCTTTAAATCATATTTTATGTGAGAACTGAAAACTCGACGAATACTATTGAAAAGTGGAATCAAGTCATCGAAGACTAAACTTGTAGCCATATCGTGTATTATTTTTTCACGGTCTCAAACATGAGTGCTAAAATTTATTTCGAAAACCAGATAATTACACCTCTAACACCTTGTAATAATATTCATGATCTAAAACAAACAGTTTTTAAACTATATGGAATTCCTTATAACGATGTATACATAACGATAAATGGAAAGTTAGCTGATCCTGGTGTGGTTCTCTACGAATCAAACATTGTTAGAATATGTACACGATTAATCGGAGGAAAAGGCGGATTTGGTTCTATGTTGAGGGCGATTGGCGCTCAAATCGAAAAAACAACAAATCGTGAAGCTTGCCGTGATCTTTCCGGTCGCCGATTACGTGATATCAACGAAGAAAAGCGTCTAAGAAAGTGGCTAGAAGGTCAAGACGAAAGAGAACGAGAGGCTATTGAAAGAAAACAGAAAAAGCTTGAGAAACTTCTTGCTGAGCCTAAGATTGAGGTTAGTTTGAATCCCAGTTATGAGAAAGAGCGTCAAGAGTTACCTGAACGTGTGAGTTCAGCTGTTGATGCAGGGTGGCAGGCAGCAGGAACCTCAGGTGAAAGAAAACGTAAATCCGAGGAAGTACTCCAGAAGAAGAAGAAAGCTAAGTTGTGGATTGATGCAGAGTTATCAGATTGCTCATCATCAAGTGAAAGTGAAAGTGAAAAAGAGTCAACCAATGATAAAATTGAAGCTGTGTCCATAGACACTAGTAATAAATCTGTCTTAAAAACATAAATTTTGGAATTTTTCTTAAGAATATTGTGTAAAATTTTTGACTTTTCTAATATAATAAAATCAGCACCATCTCTGTTCTTTATTTATCTTAATAGAATTGAAATAACAAAAATAAAAAAGGCCATAGGAATGATTAAAAAATTAAGATTGTGTAATATTAATTTTTTTGAAACTTTATTATGATAAACCATTTTATATTAAATAATTAATGATAAAAAATTAAATCTGTGACAATTTTTCTTATTAATTTATAACTATATTTCAGAAAGTTTCAATTGTAGTAATAATGGTTTTGCTGATTGCATTAGTTGCTGCCCGACCATATGAATTTGATGATGAAGGCCAGGAAGTGGATAGACGAGGTTAATGTTTAATCTATCTCTAACTCAGAATCTTTTCTTGTAGTAAAACAACAACAATGTGTACAACTTAAAGTATATCATAATCGCGGTATATGGGTACATTTACATTAAGTGTCAATTGAGTCAGTCTGTCTAAATTCAGAGTTAAGACTTAGCCCTTGGTATGACTCTGAATCTTACTATAAGATAAGTACAGTATAATAAGGTTTTGTGATTGCTATAGATCAATTATTGAACTTCGTTTTGGAGTGATATTTAGAGTCAATTTTTTTTCTAATCTCCCTTAGTCAAAATAGTTTGATATCAACAATTTAGATTTTTTGTATTTTAAAATATGGAACTTCTGGCATCTTAATTTTTTTTACAGAAAAATAATAATTTTCATAATTAATTCCAGGCGAAGTTCCTAGAGTTCAAATCAAGGTATACAGAGGACCAACAAAACATGATGGCCATGCTCCTTGGGGATTCTGGGTGAAACAGCCATCGGATGATAAATAATTTCAAAAAACATTGAAGATAGAATTCTATGTTTACAGACAAGACATACGCAAGTCATAATTTGCGCTAATTCTCGCTTTAAATATTAACCAGTCTTTAGCTTTAAACTTAAATGAAAAAGAAAAGTATTTATTTTTACCGTTACAATACCTACTCTATTCAGTCAACTAAAAAGTTTAAATTTCCTTAGGTTGTCTTTTAAGAAATATTCTGGCAATTTCTTTAAAAAAATATTCAATGTGTCTGTGTGATTTTGTTTTAAAATGTCTCAATATGTATTGTTACCAAAGATATCCAGCAATGTGAAATAATGGATACAACTAAAGTTGGAAAAATCAGAAATAAAAAATAAAGCAATTTTTTTTAAATGTTTTGTTTTAATGTATAGTTACTATTTATTAAAATTTAACTTTATATAATTATAGACAAATGTTGCAATTTATAAAATTAACATTATTCACAACCATAGACTAATGAATATGCTTAAGAATAACGAACTACGTTTTTAATTTTTAGTTGCTTATATTTTTGAAGTCTCGTTTAATATTTAAATAATTGTTTTTTGATTATAATGATTGATATTAATTATTGAATTTTTAAAATGTCAAGTAACACATTTTTAAAAGTCAATTTGATATTAAAATTATAATACTCTTTAAACGATTAGATTACAAATATTTCACGATAGTAGGTATGTACCTACCTAGTTCCCAGAATATTGGTTTAATAGGGCCGATTTACATTATCTTAGTGTTTAGGATAGTACTTTAGTTGAAACATGTAAACGCTACTTGCTTTAGTACGGTTCTACTTGACTTTCAAGTTGAATCAAAATAGAATCGCTTTTTATTTTTGTTTCAAGTGATACCCCGGCCGCGCCCGCACACCCCCCGAGATCTTCCCTCGTTGTGTTAAGAAAATTAACGGTCATAATTAATTAAGTATTGACAGTTACTCAGAAATTATTATGCAATTAATATCTTAACTCACAACACTGCGTGATTTTAATGACAATAAATTAGGTTTTTAATTGATATTTAATGTAACCTTTATTAAATCTAAAAGTTTTTAAATGAAATTACTGACAACAGGTGTCATTTGGATTGACTTAACATCATATTCCTAGCACAACATAAACGGTTAAGAACAGGTTTTTCGAGCTCGCTATCTCCCGTTGATATTACTGATAAGTTTTGAAGTGACTATTTGTTATCGATGATATTATTATGCAGATAACGTTATGTTGAGTGGTCATTGCTTAATCATGATGGTTTTTAGCGCGAAAGGGTGTGAGTTGTGTGAAATGTGATCTGAAATGTGTTTCAAACTAAAAATGAGGAGATTTAATTGGATTAGCCGATTGGGTAAGTTTTTGATAAGTTATTGATATATGAGCTTTCATTGCCTTTGTCCTGCCAAAATATAAAACCTTAATATAATATGCCGTAATATATACGACCTGTTCAATACCTCAATATTATATAAAAATAATTAACTGAAAGAGCGATAGCTTCAACTAAATAATTTTTATTTTTAACATAATTTCTGCCGAAAAAGTACTACTCTATGTGAATTTTAGTATCTAGTTTGTGTTATAGAGATTAAATCCAAAAGTAAGTTTATCTAATACTGTTTTTAAGTACCTACACGTGCTTTTACCTCGAATTTCGGTAAAGAGTACCTACTTATTTAAATTGAAGGCATAATAAGTAGGCATCAGCTTTTCTTACATTCTAACAGTATTCATAAAATAAGCACAACATGGTTATATTATTTACGTTCAAATTTTTAGTACCAAGAAGAAACAGCCCATATGCGTTGTTTCTTTTGTTTGTTATATGCGTGCCACTCATGTGGTGCTGGCTTATGATCGACACTGTCTCCAGCGTGTTACTGACTACCGTGGCCGAAGAAGACTTGTACCATTTGCAAAGGAATAGAAATTTAAAGGAATATATCGATAATATGTGAGTATACCGTAGCGGTTAGTTTCTTACGTATATTGTTCGACGCCTAATAAACAGTTACCCAACACAAGGTGGGTTTCAACACACTACATTTCGTAATCATTCAAACTTCAAATTGAGCTTTTAACAAGTTTATGTCTAATACCAGACGATAATATTATTCAAAAGGTTTTCGTGCGTAGGTCCTTTTGATTAACACACTGGCGAACAGTAATTCTAAAGTTCTTATAATCATGAAACACTCAGTTGTTATGAATGAAACAATGTTATTTACGTCACTTCCTTACCCCGAAGTCTTCAACGAAGTAGGCTACTAATTGTTATCGCGATAGCGAAAGAATTATACCTACCTATACTAAAAAACTCACTTGGTCATGTGTCTGTGAAATGGATTATTTTACAGCTGATCAGGTTTCTGTATATTCCTAACTATCGAGCAATTGAGTTCCTTTGTGTAATTAATAAAAAAAAGTAATCTTGTTCGTAAGTAGTTTTCGCATGGCTTACACGATACTTCAATTTTTTTTTTCTTGCTTTAGTGACCATTTGTTTCTGCTATAAATATTGATAAATAATGCAATAAATGCGATAAATACGAAGACGTATCGTAATAATAAGGCTAAAGACATATCGTACTAAATAATTGGTATCGAAAAATTGTATGACCGCTATAATCGTCGTATCGCTCTCGAAGGCAACTTTCCTACTAATATTATAAACGCGAAAGTTTGTAAGTATGGATGGATATTTGTTACTCTTTCACGTAAAAACTACAGCCCTGCGATTCTGTAACTCACTTTTCACTCATTCTGATAAACAATAAACTACAAGCTCCCACCTTATCAGAATGCCAAATCATAAAATCACTGCTTCACGACTTTGAGAGCGACCGCCGATGCGAAAACCGCTGTGTGAGTTCGAAAAGTGAGTTACAGAATCGCAGGGCTGAATGGATTTTATTAAAACTTTACAATAATGGCCGCCATAGACGTTCAAGTAATTTAATCAAACTGGCTGGATCAAACCGTTTTATCAAATTGGCATGAGTGTCTGTGGTAAAATTTGATCAAATTTAATGAGTTATCAAATTGTTTGAAGAAATATGAATTTTCGTTTTTTTATTTGATCAGTCGGTTTGATCAAACTGTTTCATGAAAAATTTGAGCGTGCGTGTTGCGAGCGCTCTGTTGTTGCTGCGGAAGTGTTACCTAGCGGACGTGTTGCAGCTTGCAGTGCATAATGACGAACCGCGATGTATTAGAAGAATTCATACAAATATATCAAAATGATCCAGCCAGTTTGATTAAATTACTTGAACGTCTATGGCGGCCTTAATATAACTTATACATCAGAATAACACATAGGCTACAATTTATAAAGATATTGTGTGAATTGTCCAAAATATCAAGTAAGTAGGAAATAATCTACCATCTGCAAAGCTATTCTGGCGTGCGCTGCCAAAATCGCTAGAGTTACACATATGTAATGTATGATGGAAATGTTTATCTTAAATAGTCCTACAAAAAAAGCACGCGACAGTATCTATCTATGTCTTATGTGTAAGCCATTAAACCCATAACTACAATAAAAATTGATAATATATTTCAAATGCACATTTGGTAGTAATAAATTGATTCCTAAATGAAAACAGATACTTTTATCGCTTCTGGTATTTAAAGTGGATAAAATATATCTTTCACGCTTCATCATTTGGACAAATATTATATGAATCCTGCGCAGACGAGGTCGCGGGCACCAGATAGTATTGAATAATCAAATATAATTCCAGCCTAACTAATAGGTATTAATTGTTAAAGGCATTTAATAAACGGTAAAACAAGTAATTGAGCTTTTTTTAATTAGTTTAAATAATTTCGTAGCTGAGTTACAGTCCTTTATAATAATTGTTATCATTAATCTGTTCCACAACAAAGCGTGATATAATGTGTTTTGCGACGCACCACTATGTGGTACCGGCTACCCACTGAAGTCAAAGTCAAATTCATTTATTCATATAGGTAACAAAATGTACACTTGTGAACGTCAAAAAAAATATATACGACATGCTTTTAATTTTACATTTACTACCAGTTCTCGAATCAAGGGCGTAGAACGGAAGAGAAGAACTGGCAATAAACTCTCCGCCACTCTTTATAATCGTCAAGTTTTTCACATGACATCTTAAGTAATAAATAATAATTAAAAAAATTAAAAAAAAGATTTGTCCTCTATCAGCAGGAGGCATGGTGGAAATAGGAGCACGCACTTACATTCTCGTGGGATCAGTATTTCCGAACCAACTCAACTTAGGGTCGTTCAAGAAAAGAGCGTACCAATTCTTAAAAGGCTGACAACACACTCGCCAACCCTCTGGCATTGAGTGTCCACGGGCTGCGTTATCACTTAATATCAGATGAGCCTGCCACATAGAGGAGGCAAAATTTCTTTTTATAACAAAATCATCTATTATTAGAAATAATGATACTGACTTGAAAATGTTTTTTAAATTGCAGTCCGGTGCTAATCGAACCGTCCAAAGCCCCGTGTGGAGACATTTTAGTTTTAGTAACGTCATCGCCAGGTCGATTTGAAGCGCGAGAAGCAATTAGAAGCACATGGGGCAAACATTTAGTTACGCTCTTTGTGATGGGTCTTGATGGATATACCGAGGATGATGTAATGGTGAGGGCACTTTTTTTCAAATTTCTTTCACAGAATACATATGAATAAAATAAAAATAGACTATGTTTGACTACTATAACAAGGTATTTATTCCAACCCATCAGTCAACTTTTTTGAGTGTGTTACGACGCTTGTAATGTTTGTAAGGCTTTGTATTTCGCAGATTTTTACTTTGTTTTTAATTTTCAATCAAATAATTGAACGCTCCATAGCCCCTTGGCATACTCCAATCTTCTTTATTAGCGCCTTACAGAAAATCCACGTTTCGAATCCATACGATAGACATGGAAGTATGCATGTGTCCATGACAGTTCTTTTTATATTCAACTTAAGTTCGGATTTCAGAACTTTTTTTACAGAACAGAAGACTGTTATTAAGGTGGCATTTTAATTTACAATTCGTCATTTGAGATTTAATAAATTATTTTGCAATATAAAATACTAATCATACATTCTCTTTACGAAATTTTAATTTTAAAAATAGAATTTCTATAACGTAATTCGCCCTTCTCACTCACTCTCACTCACTCTCAATCGCTCTCTTCCTTTTCTTCGACAAAAACGCTGCACATATTCGTTATTATTATTATTGCGTTTCATCCGTATCAATTTTACCCACATACGCCTAAAGAAGTTTCACTTCAAAAAAATAGCCACTGGGGACTTCAGGCCGGGCCAGTCACCGGTTAGACTGGTCGAGCAGCCTCCCTTTAGGTTGGAGGGACCATCCTTCTTCCACGTTACTATAAATCCCCAATTGCTATTGAATGTCTCCTAATCTTATTGTAAATAAAAACGTTATAAAAAATATATTTAAGTTCTTACGGGTATACAATTGTTTATCAAAGCTCTTTTTAGGTAGACAACTATTTAGAAGCAAAACTGCACAGTGACATCATAATATACAATTTCAAAGACCACTACCAGAACCTCACCATAAAAACGGGTCTCATGCTGGAATGGACCATTAGTAGATGCTCCTCATCCAACTTCCTGTTCAAGACTGATGATGATGTCCTGGTTAATCCATGGAAGTTAAGACGAATAGTTGAGGAGAATGCTGAGAATGTGCTAATAGGTAAGCCGAAATAGTTAGGGTTTTTGAAGATTTCATCTTGATCATTAAGACAGATGGGCGATCATCCTCTGACTCATTTAAATCAATACTAGTATTTTGAGCGGATTTCACTTTGACGTTGTTAATTTATAAGCTCTGTGATATGTAATGACAGTGACAGCTGACAGTAACGCCATTTCTCCGACATATATGTTTTAGACTCTTAGGCTTGTCGACAATGGGGGGGGGGGCATGGAGGTAGATATGCAACTCCAATAGGACCTTAATACCAGTTATGACGGTTGCAACTAAGATTAAAACACGCACACAAAGGCTTGAGACAAAATCACTTTGGCGTGACCATTGATCAGGCCTGTCGAAGGGTTAGTTGGTCACTGGCGAATTTTGCATCTATGATATTAGCCCACGTTTTGTCATGTGACCATTTTCATATAATCTAATTTATAATTCTCGTGTCTCAATGTTCGTTCACATTCGCCACCGAAACGGCTCGATCGATTCTTATGAATTTTTTATGCATATTCAGTAAGTCATCGGCTACTACCTATCTCTCAAACCCCTAAATGTTAATGTTGGTGGTCCACCCTCAAATTGTTATTTTTATTTTTTTGATATCTCTTTTGTTTTTATTTTGTTATAATACAGCGTGCATACATACAACCCTTAATTTTCACCCCTCTACGATCAACCCCTATCTTTTATTTGTTAATTAAAATCTTATGACTTGAACTCTGAGGTTTATATAGAAAAAAATTTACAGAAAAACGTAAACAGTTTTCGTTCCTGTAAACCGAACAGTCTCTGGGGTAGCATAGCAAAATGTTCCATGTTATGTACTAAAAAGGTAACCTAAGTAAAATCACATTAAAGAGAAACGAAGTTTTCGGGGGCAGCTAGTAATAATATACCAAACCTAACATGCATTGCACACATACAAACACTACATGTATAGTGGTAAAGAAAACTATTGTTACTCAACTTAATATTCTTTTGTTTTTCCAGGATACCTGAAGTCAAATACCTATCTTCATAGGGATACTCATAGTAAATGGCACATCCCGCGCTGGCTGCTTCAAGATGACTTCGTGCCCCATTATTTATCTGGCACGGGCTATTTAATAAATGGTAATTTGGGGGTAACTCCTAAGGCGGTCAGACGGTCAATAAATATCGCGATACCTGTCTCAGTATAGATTGAATCAACTGGTCGTACTACACTTTCAATAGATACTGACTTCAGTCTTCAATATCATCAGTAGTTAGAAGATCATTCTTCGGAGAAGACGTGTTTCGTAATAATGGACGATAAAAGTAAAACCTGTATTGCCATAATACAGGCCAAACTTTAATTTACCTTAATGCTATATTAAGGGAAGTTCATTAAAACAATAAATTTGCGTAATCAGTTGTACTTTAATTTTGTAATAAGCATAAAAACAAAAATATTTTACATAGGTTTCTTTTGTAAAAACAGTGATCTAACATTTAACTTATCCAAATCAATACGGACACAGTCAATAAATATTGAACGATAATAAAAAATCTAGATTTTATGTCAATATGCTCTGTTATTTCTGCAGCGTTTACACATCAATAAATATTGACGAGATCTCAAGGATCACGATATATATTGACCGTCTGAACTCTGCCTTATATTTTGAATCAATCCTTTCTTTCCTAAAAACGACCAAGATTATGTATAGAAATACGATGTCGAAACCAAGAGTTGTTTATAGCTATTAAGAATTTATGAACAGTTTTGGCCCAGGAACGTGCGAAGAAACGCTCGAATTATCACTTCACCATAGGGTTTATTTATATGCGCAATTCATATTTTATATGATGAAGGCAAACATTGTGAGGAAACCGTCTTTTGTCAAAAATCGATATTTGTCAGGCACGAAAGACCGTGGGGCGGATAGTGAATTTGTGGGGCTTTGGGCTATTACGGGGAAGTAACCCGTGATAGACGCACACGCGAAAATATACACCGACCGAAAACAAGCGACGGGGATCATTGATTTCAGGGATTCCAACTTTGTGATTGGATTTTTTTATTTTCAGTTTTTTTTTTAAATTCAAAATATCGCCTATTGTTTTCAATGGGGATTGGGGGCCCTTTGTATCTACGGCTCTGGGCTGCAGCCCAAAAAGCCCTTAAGTAGATCCGCCCCTGCGAAAGACGATCTTTCTATAAAAATGATCAAGAAAATGCCTTAATAAATGGATTATTAACGAATTAATTTTTTTTTTTCAGTTAAGTATATAAAGCTAATGCTACACGCCGCCTACTCAGTGCCAATGATTAACTTAGAAGATGTTTATTTTACATATTTAGTTGCTAACAAAACACTAGGTTTTACATTAACCCATGATCGTAAGTTAAGCCCCTATAAACCCTGGTTACCGATCGACTGTTTTTATTGGGGGCTGGCGTCTATACACAGTCTCATCCCCAGTGATATAATTAAATGGGGATCGTGTGTGATAAAAATGGGTGGCGATAACCAAAACGAATTATGTAAATCGTACGAGAATTATAGCGAATGGTGGTTATTCTGATTTTCGACCCCATATGAAATTGGGGTCTTTCATATAAAAGTCATACGTACAAATCTATTGCAAAGAATTTCAATTTTCGCTAGTGGTAAAAGTCTTTGAAACAAATTACATAACAAATTAAAAAAAAATACTAAGATGAATGTTTATACAAACGGGACCCAGTAGATACGCACACTAGTTCCATACTAAAGTACGTACTATACTATTGCATAGATTTTGAATATTTTCGCTTGTGTTTAGAGTTTTCACAAATTGAAAAATATTACTAAAACGTAATGATTTTTATACACAAATGGGGGCCAAAATGACAATAATATATATAATAAAAGAAATAGCATAGAAGGTAACTTCTATGTGTGCCAAATGTATAAAAATAGCGAATTTTCTAAGTTACAGGGTTTAGAGATTGTATTTTGTTTATTTGTATTTTTTTTCTAATGAAAGACATTTCGTTATTACAAAGTATATTATAAGTCTAAAGTATTTTTGTGCCATACTGTGAACAATGTTGACAGCTTCATACTTTAGCACTCTACTTAAGTTAACTTATTGTTATTGTAAGTGTAATACTATATTTTAGTTGATTTTCAATAAATATTTTTATATTATTTACTTTGTTTTAATATTTTTCTACTATACCCTATTTTAAATATCCTTGAATTGGCTGATTTATAACCCTGACACATCAAGCAACAAATTGGACTAGCTCTACTGTAAAGAGATGTATAGGACGGCAAAAGAAAACGACGTAATAGAACTAGCGGGTAATAATGGATGTAGCTAAAGAGAATTGGAAATATATGGACGAGGCTTTTACCCTAAAACGACCTTATATAAATACTAGAACACCAACAAAAGTACCCTTAATTTTTATAACTTAATTAACACAACAGACTTAGCCACATTCCCACCTGATGTTAAGTGTGGGCTAATAAGGGGCAGGCTTGTCCAGAAGATGCCTGTTCTTCCGCCGCGGCCGCTTGAAAGCCGCCCCTAGAGTGTTGCCAGGTGGTCTCGGTGACGTACGGCGTACCCCTGGGGACTAGACTAATTTGATTTCCCCCCAGAAATCCCCTAGGGTGCCTTCAAATACAAAAAATAATAATTATTGTGTAGTGTTATTACTGAATTTTCATGTTATTTCAGAATTTGTATTCAATTAAAATCATATCGTTCTTTGACAGGTCAAACGCATTTACAAATATATGATGAACGTCAAAAAAATATATATATGCTTCTAATTTTACATTTACTGCCAGTTCTCAAATCAAGGGCGTAGAACGGTAGAGAAGAACTGGCGATAAACTCTGCAAACGAAGTATTTCGAGATGCGTCAGCTTTACGTGTAGGGGGCGGATATACTTAAGGGCTTTTTGGGCTGCAGCTCAGTGCCCCGTAGATACAAGGGGCCCCAAGTCCTCGCTGAAAACAATATTATGCGATATTTTCAATAAAAAAAATATATCTGAAATTTTTAAAATACAATCAATTTTGGTATCCCTGAGTTTAATCAACCCATGTGCGATGCGCCGCTATTGTGGAATTCCCCGTTGGTATTCGGTCGGTGTATCTTTTCGTGTGTGCGTCTATTACGGGGGACTTCCCCGTAATAGCCCAGATCCCCACAAATTCACGATCCGCCCATGCCCCTAGGCACCGCTAAATTCCTTAGAGTTGTCTGGCAAACTGTCTCAATACTCATTTTCGTTTTTCAAAACCAAAGGCTCAAAAACTTAGGGTATGGCTGAAGTTTTAAACTTTTTCATAGTAAGGCATTACATGGTGTATAATAACAGATATAACAATGTCAGGTGCAGCGATAACGATTTAACGATCCCGTCTTATTTTAAAGTTAGTTACTATTGTATTGGCATTTCATTCATTTGGTACAGGGACGGACTATTTTGCAAAATGTCATTATAGGAAATTGTAAGGGCCAGACGTCAAATTAGAAAACAAATTTACTTTTATTAACCAAATGGATTTTTATACACTAACAGACAATTATAATCTAAAAAGATTTCCACTAAGTCAGAAAGTAAGATTAATAGTGTAATGCAGGGGACATGTTGATGCAACTAATAGTAATTTGCGTTTTATGACATTGCGACAGATACATTAATACAAATGGTATTCAGTCTTAACAAAAATTTTAGACACAAATAATAGTAGTTTATCATGTAGTGCTAAAGTATCTTTATCATTTCGAAATGGCCATCAAAAAAATATTTTTAATTGATCTGATTAATATTATTAATAATTGATCTTCCATTTATCCCTCCTTTCCGGAGAACGCGTTTTGGCCGAAATTCACCGATGTCCAGATTGAGCATTCTGTTAAACGAGCTGGATCTGGACATCCATAGTTGCTCACCTCACACTTTGAGAGCGATTTTCGTTTAATTTATGTTTATTTACTTAAGTTTGTTTAAATTATATTATTGTTTTGCTTAATTAATTTTATTACTTCTTGTATGATTTGTTTGCCTGTAAGTGCTTGACACATTAAAAACTGTATTTTACTTTTCTTCTGTCAATGTATCAGTGTGCCAAGCGTTGGCAAGCTTTTATGAATAAATAAATAAATAAATCTGCATCACTTAAAGTTAACGAATCACAATTAGAACTAAACACTTAATGGTCAATTGAGTAAGAAAAGCGTATCAAAATGGGGTGACAAAAAGAAGAAGATAGTGAGTGCTAACTATCTTCGTGACCATCATGAGCAAATTGAATTGATTGAAAGAGGCCATCTCCGAGATTATATGATGACTTAATTATATGCCTTTGTAATGTATCTGCCATGAGATAGAACATTTACTACTTGGGGGCCTTTAAGAGAAGGCTACTTTAAAGGCCGACAACGCACCTGCAAGCCACTTAGTGTTGCAGGTGTCTAAGGACGGAGGTTAGTTAATTCTATGTGACCCGCCTGCTGCTTTGCCTCCTGTCATAAAAAACGAAGATTTTTCATAAATTTACTTAAGTTTGTCCCTGTCTTAAAAATAAAAATTCATCAAATCAATACAAGCGAGTCATATAAAGTGCACAATTCTTAACTAAAAATAGTGTTTAACCATGGACAAGAGAGTGCTATTGATCTTTGCATTACTAGCTTTGCTTGGATTGGCACAATGCGGTAAGTTTATCAAATAATCTATTCTTACGTATATTTTTAAAAAGTGAGTTTCATTAAGCATCTATTATTAAAGTTTAAACCAGTTTAATTTTAGTTATCGTAGTGGAAACAAATCCGATAACAATTATATATTGTAACGAATTCTACGTAGGTATATAAATGCTTATAATAAAGACATGCTTAGAAAAACAAATAATATACATTTCAAAAATTGTTGTTCCTACTCGGAATAACAACGTTGCTATTAAAGTACGTCAGGCTGAAACTTTGTAGATTATTTATTATTTAACAGTCTCGAATTTCAGGAGTTTCAATTACGAAGTTAAAAATTGAGATTTTGTGGCTGTTTCACAGATAATGACTTAGTAGACAACAATTTGCGCCTTCAAAATAAAATTATTAGCTTAAGATATTCTGTAACGGCTTTATAGATGGTACTTACAAAGAACCGCCTTCAGAGATAGACGAATCCAAACATCGAGATCTAAAATGCAAGCCCGGTAGGACAGTAATTAGAATAGAGCAACCCTCAAACAAAACCTATTATTCTGATGAAGAATATGAAGAAGTAAGACGAACACACATGAATACAGGCGTAAAAGATGAGACCTGCCAGATTTGTGTGTGTTCCGCTGAAGGGAAAGACGAGTACTGCTCTCAAAGACCAGCTAAAAATATAAATGAATGCATTCGACTAGCTCTAATAAGAGAAGATATGGCTAAAGGGCTGCCGTACGCTCATGACAGAACTTTGGCTTATCGGATTAGGCGAGGTTTGTGGTCATGGACAGTGCAGTTGAAATGTTTCTCGGATTACAGAAAAACAGGGTTACATATGTTAGAAATATAGCTTAGGGATCTACAATAATGATATCTACTACTACGTATCTAAATTTATTTCTTTTCTGTGTATTATATTAGATTACATCTGGCATAGAGATGAGATTCCATACGAGGCGAAGTCGAAATGTTTGCGAGCAACTTCATACTACAGTAACAGTTTGACCGCCAACGACACGGATATAGATGTCCCAAGTGAAATCGATTCACTTTTGGACTACGATAATATTGATGTCTGTTTCTACTGCGTGTGTTCCGTTGATGCTAAAGCCGCGAGCTGTATAAATAGAGACCCTTGGTTCTGTGAATATTATAGGGTCATCAAGGAACCGAACGCAATGAGGGACAGATATGCTACGTTGTTTAAACAGGATAGACCTGGCTACTTTCAGCAACTCTCTTATAGACTACGCAGGACGATGGATGATTCAATGTTTTCTTTGCTAGAAAAGGGTAGGATTTGCTTGGGCTAGTTCTTTCATAAACACTTATGAATATCTCCAATTGACTTTAGTTTTTTCGTGATTTTCAATTTTTGACTTGTCGACGTCAGTCGCATAAAATTTTACCGAATAATACCTATTATAAAAGATACCGGTAAAACAAACCTTACTTCACACGCGTGCTTAGCGAAAACGTTTCGGAAAAGTTTACAACAGTTATGATGTGAATTAGTATTTTTTTTGTGTTATTAACTCCTGTTTCCAATCTTGCAAAACGGTTTCCAGTATTCGCATGTGTTTTTTTGGTTTCTAAATGTAAGATTGGTTGCAGGAGGAGATACTTTGTGCTGCAACCATCCGGACGGCCACCGAAGGAGTATGCATGCCCATGTAAGAAGCAAAATACGTCAGATGCGAAGAAAGATCCCAAAGGAGAACATTCTCGGAGGCAGCCCGCTTGGGGACTATGCGGACTTTATTGTCAATAATGATTGAATTTGTCCCATTCTGTATAATTTTGAATATCGAAAATAAGTGTTGTGTGATTTTTGAAATCTGTGTTTAAATTACCGTGTCTATTGTTGTCTCTGAGACGTATGGTTTCCTTTTTTATTTTTTTATTGAATAAAGTTTTATTAAATACATAATAGTTTTTTTTCCTACTTTCGTCGATTGGAGATATTGCTTTTTCACAAATAGCACTTGATTTAATGAGCACGTTTATTCTCACCGTTTGTATTTATTTTCAACTGCACTGGCACCATCACGATATTTTAAGAGATTTTTTTTTAGTATTTTGTTTTATAGTTTATAGCTGTAATATAATCCAGAATAATTTTGTCCCGAGAGCAGACCTACCGCTATCGGTATTTATTGCGAGTTGACAGTGTTTAACCAGATAGTCCTGAACTGAATGAATTAAATAATCGTTTTGAAGAAGTCTAATCTAAGCATGAGAAAAAAATCAAACAGGCAGAAATATATCTGTTTCACTTTAAGATAGTCATAAAGGACTTTAAATAAGAGCGCACTATTTCTTGAAAGGCTGATAAAAACCCTCCAGCCGAATTGCATAAGTCTCATTTTATAAGACTGATAGTTTTCTTTTCTGAAGAGAAGGAGCATTAAATCTTCTAAAACTAACCAGATTGTTTAACCATGCTTTAAATCAGTAACAGCCAATTTATCTTTTGGTTTCCTTATAACACTTGATAATTTTAGTTGGAGACAAAGCAGATGAGGATAAGTGTGTACCGTTTGTGTCACAATACTCGGACTGTTCAGATGGTAAGCTTTTTTTGTACAAGTTACTAATTTTATTTGAAATGCGATGTACTCTAAAAAATCTACATAAATTGTTATCAATATGTGTAAAAAATATTCAAAGGCGTTTACTTTTATTGCATACATATTACATAATATGTTAATAGCAGAATTATTAGTTAATAGCTTCTCTTTCTATGTATAATTGAATCGTTGATCCCTTGGATGATGGGACGGGCTTTGGTATGGGGTGCTACTTGTGTGGACACGTTTACCCCGTCTCACCTTCGGACAGGAAAAAAAGCTGGGGCGAAAATGATAAGAGTCTTTCCTCCAACTTCGATTTTGTTCCCTTTGGAGTAGAGACTCTTGGGCCGTGGGGTTGAAGTGCAAAGGCGCTAATTAAAGATGTAAGTTGGCGCCTGGTAGATAGTACCGGTGACCCCAGAGCTGGTGCTTTCCTCGCTCAACGAATAAGAATCGCAATACAGCGAGGAAAGCCAGAGCTAAAGGTACACTGCCACAGGGACTAAACATTTTAAATTTGTTTTAATTTTCTATTTATTCATTTCTAATTATTATTATGATTAATATGTATAGGTTAAGAAAATTGTGAATACATACTGTATATTTGTTTAGTTAAAATATAAATGATTTATATTTTCGAAGTAATATTGTGTATATTTCAATTAGAAAACATGTGTGGTGGTTGCATAAGATGCAGCTGTACTGCCGAAGGAAAGTGGTCCTGCCAGGAGGTCTTTGAGTGTAATGATGTAGATGATAATGATGATAAAAGCAATACCATCACTGACACGGTCAACGTATTGTTTTCAGGTAAGATATAAAACTTTTAATGTATGTGTACTGGGTTATCGGAGTGCTTTAAATTATAGAGGATAAAATGCTGCTTTAAATTATTTTCACTCTATATTAACCACTTGCGCAGAACAGATTAAATGAATAAATATATTAATGGATGTAATGTAAATGTTGAAGAGAGTGCTTGCGTCTGGGTATACTCTCGAAGCGTGACTCCGACTATTTAGGAAATCGCTGGGCTTATCAAACTTATAAAACCTGAGTGAACAAAATGTACACGCTTGGCTCGTATTTTTCATAGTTATCAATAATAAACGTTTCTAACACCATCAATACGTGTGTTCAAAACATTTAACATTTAAGATTATAAATAATATAATATTACCCATTTTAATTTATAGAAGTAAAAGAAAGACAGAGGAAGATGAAGGAAAAACGAAAATTACACCAATTTGCTCCTCCGCCGCCGAAATCTGAATTTGATTCTCTGATAGGTAATTATTTGAAGAAGGTTTTTACTTCCAATTTCATTTAAATGTTCTGCTAATATTGACCAAATATTAAACACACGAATCTAAATATTTTACTATTACTATTGTTATTATTCTTTCAGGGTATTTAATTGCCGTAAAAGATTAGCACTGATGCACTTCTTTAAATAAATATTGCACTTACGCACTTGTGTATTAATTTCTATAATTTTCAAACACCAGGTGAGCTATGTAAAATTGAATTTATGCGGAGAACAATTTTTAATGTTTCTTGATAGTTCCAGATGAGTTTCCTTATGAAGAAACATTTGAAAAATTCATGGATAGAAACGAGCGATTTAAAAGATCCATAGATACGGTTTCTGTGAAAAGTGTAGAAAATGAGACTATCAAATTTCATAACACAGTGGATGAAATAAACGAAGGTATAGGCCGTAATATAGGCCCTAATTTAAGGAATATTTTAGTTTTTCTGTAAATTTGTATAGAACTTTCTGTTACCTTTCAGATACATTAAGAAACTCAAATAAATCTGGGACAATTGAGGCAAGGAAAGTAAATGGGATAGAGTTATCGACAAGGAGGAAAAATGTCGGTTATGATAAAACTGAGTTAAGCTCATTGCATATTGAATATAATCAACCCCAAGATTATGAACATCACATCGCTGAAAATAAAATTGATTCACCTCCTCATAGCAATGATAAATCAAACTTAAGTAACAAAGAGCAAATACGTAACATAATGGGAAATTATTCACAAGCCACAAAAGATCAAAATTTGTCAAAGATAGTAGTAAATGAATTAAAGAAGGGCAAAGAAATAATTGGCGATAAAAATGCTATTCCAATGTCTAATATAACATTTACTCCAGAAAATGATACCCTGACGGCGATGGCATTCATAGCTGGAAATTTACTAAATAAACTTTGGAATATGGATAAAGATTCAAGCGAGTCTTTTGAATCTGATTCATTGAAACACCAAAAAATAAATGATCTCCTTGAATTGTTTAAAGAACCACTAAATGCGAGACAAGAATTGTTTCTGAAAAATGCACTAGAAAAGCTGTCTCATTCTCTTAATAAAAATAAAAATTTGCGTAATATTACTATATGTGAAACTCTGGAGACTGATGATTTAGAAAATAAGTCAAGTAACAACATTTTTGATGTCAACAAAAAGTGCAACAAAAGTACAACAAGCAAGTCTACAGAAAATAATTTCAACAAACCAAAAAAGACTGATTCAAAAACTATAGATCATTCCGATGTAGCAGAAAAGTTAACAGATGTTTTAAATTTAATAAAAAAATTCGAAAACACACAGAGAGCCCTGAACAATTTGAGAGAAAAGGTAGATTCAGCGTCAAAGCAATCTTCAGATGAGAATTTATCAGATAACAATAATACTAAGTTTAATTTATTCGGAAAAGTTTTAGAAAAGGTAACGAAACTATTATTACCTTACAGGCACTCTAAAAGAATGATTAACAAAATTAATAAACTTCATCAACTGAAAGATAGACAACAGTTAAAGGGCCAACTATTCAGTAGTTTATCAATCTCTGCTAAAGATAAAATTATTTTAGATTACTTAAATCATATAAAAAATAATCCCAACTGCTTACTTAGCAAAATAGCTGCTAATTCAGAAATTTTTGAAGAAAATCTAGTAGGCATTAAAGGAAACGTAATCGAAAGTATTACTAAGTTGCTTAGTGGTAAATCTTTAATTGATATAGAAAAACTAATTGTACCTCAAAAGACTACTGCATCAACTACCATGAAGCCTACAACTACTAAAGGTTTTCAGCTACTAAGAAAATCAAAAGAACTAGAACCCGTAAAACTTGCTTCAGCTAAAGAAAGGCTTAAAACCCACCTACAATCCATTATTTATGATTTAGCTGAACTACAGAATGAACGTGGAAATCATGGAAGGGAAATAAATATTACAGACATCTTACCATGCATAAGTCATTTAATTAGTGACAATAATAAAAATAAAGAATCTTTAGAGATGTCTCCAACTAAGAAGGACGATGGTTTGCCCATAGATAACATTGAAAAGTTAATAGATGCATTACAAATAGAGTTTAGATCTAATTCGTTAACAAGAAGAAGTGACCTGGGAGAGCGATCAACATCAGCTAGAGTTTGGGAGCGTATATTAAAAAACATGGATTTTAAAAGAATTAAATCACGTAGATTTCTGCTGGATAAATCTAAATCTTACAGTGATTTAAAGAAAACAATAGAAAACATCGAAAAACTAAGTGGTACATATAAAAACTATGCGTTGCTATCTGTTATACCCGCCTATAAAAAAAGAATGTTGTTAAAAACCTTGCAAGCAGATGTAACACGGCATAGTAATGTGTTAACTCAAATAGAAAGTTCATTTAGTAGTTTGAAACATATATCTTCTGAAAATTTAAAAGATGTTGTAGAATTTATAGATAATACAGAAACGAATATAAAGTTAAGCAACAACGTACTTAGAAATTTAAATAAAACAGACAATAAGATGGCAAAGCCACTTCCAAAATTGTTAGAATTGAAATCAGAAAGAACGCCTCTAATACAAAATAATTACATTAAACAGCAAACAAATAGAAATATAAAGTTAACTAGAGAACAGATAATGAATCAACTAATGCTTAACCGTATTCAGCTGTATCTAAAAATGAAAGAAGAAGAAGGGATCAACGAGAATGATCTTAATTATAACATTGGAAAACGAGCTTTGATAGCATTACGTAACGGTAATAGTAGACTTGCGAAGGAGCTATATCAAATCTTAGTAGAAAGCAAATTGGTCAGAAATGTACCACAGACAAGACGAATGCGTAAGTAAAACAATGCTTTAACAATAATAATAATTATTAAGCCTCATTTATTTCTCGAAACATTTATCCAAATTTACGAATGTTACACGCACTTAAAATTTTATGCAAATATAATTATGTATATTGTTTTCAAGAACCTCTCAGCTCTCACTATCTTGAGCATTTTTCTCCCAATATTACCGACTTCTTTAAGCTCGTCAGGCCACCGTGCAAGAAGGTGACCTCTTTTTCTTTTCCCTGATGGCCTTTTCCACCTTGTTACCTCCATTCCCACTTAAGGTTCTTGCTATGGAATAGTGCATCAATAATTTTGTTTTCTCTCTTATTTCTGTACCTCTTATCTTGTCTTTAGTTTTAAATTTAGTACAATAAAGGTAGATAATATGTATGATCAGTGTTTGCGGATTTCCCACATAGACTTTTGGGTCTAAGAATGCGCCTAAGAAATACCGCTTTCCTCACGATGGTTTCCTACACACATGAAATTATGCTAGGGCTCAGCCGAAACTTCGAGCTTCGCCTGACGCTTGACCATTAGGCAAACACTGCTGCAGCATTCAATGCTTTACAGAAGCTAAAGTTTGTTTATTAACTAACGAAGGTAATCGAAAGGGACTTTTTTTAGGGAGACGAAAAGTAAATAACGAAAATACAAAGGTTGCTATTCTTAATGCAATGAAGGAACCCTTGCTTAAAATTGGAGACAAAGGCTTTCAGGGTAACTCTGAAGACATTATCTTTACAAAATAAGAAGAAAGTGACACTAATTTATTGTTTTGTACTTTTTATTACTAAATAAATTTTATAATGAATATATTTTTATTAAATGTTCCTTAACTATTTCACTTTTGTAGTACTGTTGTCGTCTTTAAGGTTGTATGACGTTGTTTTTGATGGGGTTTTCGTGTTCTGCGCCCTGCAATGAAAATTTATAAAATAAAATTTAATATTTTTAATTAATAAGCTTCAGAAAAATAATAATCAGAAAACACACACCATGGTGCCTTTTAGTGCTTTTTGACACATTTCCTTTCTTTTTATCCACAACAGGTTTTACTTTTCCACGCAAATAACCTGGTATTATATTTTTAATACGATTGAAGAAATTTTGCAGTTCATTTGCTGATCTCTTCTTACGGGGCAAAACATTCAATTTCATTTGCCATTGTTGCATAATTTGTTCATATTTCAAAGAATTTATCCTTGACATTTCATCTAATCGTTGTTTCTTTAAAATTTTCTTCTCTTCTCTCTTTCTTAAAAGTTCTTTAATGCCTTGTTTAGATTTCTTTATTACTTTTTTCAATTTATGAAAGAAATTGTTATTAATCGCTTCGTCATTGCCATGTACTAGTAACGGTTCCGGTTCGTAATTTTGTAAATATCGGCAACTCCATATTCCTGTTTGGTTGGGCATCACATTTTGCAAGCTTTCTTGGAACAACACGGCAAGTAGAGCTATAATAATAAACAAGGGTAATATAATTACGTATAATACTATTATAAAGACAGGTTGAAGAAAACATTTTCCCGATTTTCTAGGTAAAAGTCGAGGTTTAGGGAGGACGCAAACTGTAACCCGTAAATCAAAATCGTATACGTTCTGGATACTTAGCGCATACTGATTTCGTATTGTACCCTTTGATATGTCAACGTACATAATATTTATAGGGAAAACATATTGTTGCATCGTTTTTGACTAAACAAGGTAATTGGTTGATGCACTATTTGTGACTTCGAACTCAAATCTTTCAAATCGTTTCGATTATGGCGACAACTGATCGCTTAAATAATTTGACGTAAATAATAAATTGTTATATGGGACTCAATAAACGGTGGAAAATACTGTTCATGCTTTTTGCCATTAGTTTAAGCATTTTTACGAGCAATATCGGGTGAAAATACTAGTAACTTCCTCACCAGAGATCGCAAGCAGCGCTCGAGCGGACGTGGCCATCGGAACAATAGGCATAACGTAATATGAACGTGTTTACACTCGTTTAAAGGGCTGGTACATTGTGTAGACTTTAATATTAGGAAAAGAAAAGGGGCATATGTTCCAAATATAAGTATGCAGATAGAACCTATTGCCGTTACTTACATCGCGTAAGTATTAGTTACGATTTGCTTATTTTGTTGACAAAAGACTGGATAGTTTAAGTGACTACAGACAGAAGTGACAGGTTATTATTATCTTAATTAGTGATTAAGTACTAAGTCTTTTTTAACACAATTTATTAAAATTATTATATTACACTGCATTTATGAAATACTATACTGCGTTTTATTATCAATTTACACATAGTGGTTGCTCAACGGCATTTTAATTAAAATTAAGTCATGGTACAATTACGCTAAAGTATTTTAATTTAAAAAATTATTTAATTTAATTTATTTTACTTTTAACGGATAGAAACGCAAATTTCTGACATATTCTATGGGAAGTTTAATGCGTTATTATTATAATCTTATTTTGGAGAAAGTTCACCCCTGAAGAAACATTAAAATGCCGTATTTACAAACACACATTGAGCTACCGATTGGCGTGATTTCAGTTGGTTACAAGTATGTTGCTACTACTGCTCTTGTTCCAGCAATCCACCGCTACTGGTAAGCATTTAAAAGAGTAATCAGAATATTAACAAAGCAACTGGAAATAAATAAAACTACGGCCTGGATTCAATACTCTCAGCCGTAAGCTTTCCTTTACGCCATTGTTAGCTCGTCTGCTAAAACAGGAGTGAGAATTTTAAAGGCCGGCAACGCACTGGCGAGCCCTCTGGTATTGAGAGTGTCCATAGGCCGGTATCACTTAACATCAGGTGAGGCCCTTGCCCGTTTGTCCCTGTTCTATAGAACAAAGCTTCAGTTTTTTGTGCCCTAACGAAAACTATGGAACGAAAACTAATTCATTAACTCGGCGTGATAAATTAAAAAGAAAGCTAAATATTGTGTGGAAGGGTGGTATAATTGAAACCAAAAGAGAGGATCTTCAACCAGTCTAACCATTGACTGGCGCCTGAAGGCCAAAGTAGTAACGGTCGGTAAGATATATATATATATATATATTATCCTTAAATCGCAATTTGATACATTAATAGCGCGGATCGTAAGTGTCCTCGCTATTATGTTATAATCGTATGATGTTTTGATGACTAACATAAACACGCGATTCAGTATTTTTTTTATTTCTTCAAAGAAGTACCACATCAGGCAAAACATATAATCAAGACCATCGACTCCTGCCCCGATGTTGGCTACTTTTTCCAACGTGATCCGGTGCCAAACGCTCTAGACCATGGACCCTGTCTACTCTGCTTCTGCAAGGAGAACACCTCAGCCGTCTGCTGGAGACGAGACAACAGTAGATGTGATCACAAAGACTATCGACATTACGGGAAAAGGTAAATACTAATTAATGTTTTAAAGTTATAAAAATGTTTTCGAGTGTTATCTATCTTGTATTTTTTTTAAGAAAGATATATAGCTTATAACTTTATACTTAAACTTCATTTTACACCTATAAACATATCTTTACATATTTAAGTACTTAACAATTAGATGGATTGGTTAAAATAAAATGATTTTAATCCAGGCTAATCGGTAACTATCAAAGAAAACAAGTTAGTACAATTATTATTAGTAGTACTTAGGGTAGTAAACTTATGATACACTATTTATTCCACTAAAGAACAGGTGTCAGAACTCTCCTTGCCGACACCACACTTGTGGCGAACAATTCAATATTAACAGTTTAATTGTTAGGCTTTCCCGCCGCCCTAACCATAAAGCTTTAGGTTCCTCCCACGTTGCGTAGTGATAATCGTACGTATGGCATATGAGGGCTAAAGAGGGTTTCGGTTTGGTATGCATAGAGGGCTGCCCTGCGATTCTGTAACTCACTTTTCGAACTCACACAGCGGTTTTCGCATCGGCGGTCGCTCTCAAATCAGTCGTGAAGCAGTCATTTTATGATTTGGCATTCTGATAAACAATAAACTACAAGCTCCTACCTTTTCACGACTGATTTGAGAGCGACCGCCGATGCGAAAACCGCTGTGTGAGTTCAAAAAGTGAGTTACAGAATCGCAGGGCTGATTCCTACGTGATTTCTTAAGCCATTGTTAGTTCGTCTCCTAAAACTCTAGTAAGAATTTTCATCTTGAATTTGTCAGTATATCATTTGCGTTAATATATACAATTCAATCAGTAAGAGCAGTATTGGCCTAGCGGCTTCGGCGTGCGACTCTCATCCCTGAGTTCGTAGTTTCGATCCTCGGCTTTGTCCACCAATGGACTTTCTTTCTATGTGCGCATTTAACATTCATCAGAAAACATCGTGAGAAAAACCGGCTTGCCTTAGAGTTTAGACCCAAAAAGTCGACGGCGTGTGTCAGGCACAGGAGGCTGATCACCTACTTGCCTATTAGATTAACAAATGATCATGAATCAGATACGGAAGTCTGAGGCCCAGACCTAAAAAGGTTGTAGCGCCACTGATTTATTTATTTAAATACAACTTTATTGATAACATGTTTAGCCTGAAGGCTGATCAACAGCAGGAAAACATCGTGAGGAAACCGACATGTCTTAGACCCAAAAAGTCGACGGCGTGTGTCAGGCACTGGAGGCTGATCACCTACTTGTCTATTAGATTAACAAATGATCATGAATCAGATACGGAAGTCTGAGGCCCAGACCTAAAAAGGTTGTAGCGCCACTGATTTATTTATTTAAATACAACTTTATTGATAACATGTTTAGCCTGAAGGCTGATCAACAGCTCGTCTAAATGTCTCTAAAAGATTCAAACATATGTTGAATCGCCTTCGTTGTTCAGATGATGATGTAATTAATTTAGTCACATATATATTGTGCCTCGATGTACAATAATATAGATAACCTCGTGTCAATGGGTTTTATTACATGATAAATAAAATAAATCAGTGGCGCTACAACCTCTTTAGGTCTTGGCCTCAGATTTCTGAATCTGTTTCATGATCATTTTTAAATCTAATAGGCAAGTAGGTGATCAGCCTCCAGTGCCTGACATACGTCGACGACTCTTTGGGTCTAAGACATGTCGGTTTCCTCAAGATGTTTTCCTTCACCGTTTGTGCAAATGTTAAATGCGCATATAGAAAGAAAGTCCATTGGTGTACAGCCAGGGATCGAACCTATGACCTTAGGTATGAGGGTCGCACGCTGAAGTCACTAGGCCAACACTGCTCTTTATTACCTGATACTCAAAATTTTGTTATTCCAATTCACTTAGGGAGACAAGACAACGACGGAGTCCAGGTTTTAGCGACATTTTCTTTCGAGATGCGACCAGAGATGGTAAGTTATTTGATCACACATTAGCCATAAGCAACCTTCTAGACACAGAGTTTTAAAGAAAAAATAACCTACCTTGACTTTCTATCTTTTAAACACCGCTCAAACATTGCAGTGTACGTCCTCTCGTTATTTTTACGCAAGATCCTTGTAAATTAACAATAATTATAAGTTAATTAGCGATTTAACTTCACACCCGCTCTCCATTACGTAAAAAGGATTTGTTACCTTTTGATTATATAATAAATTTCGCAAAATACAGTATATCTTTTTAAACGTAAATTTTCGTATAAATTGTGTTGTGTGACAGGTGACTTGGCATTAATAACTAATGGTATGATAAATGTTGCTTTTTGGTCTTGAAACTCCTAGGAAAAGCTGTTATTTTATATGAAAAATAAAAATAATAAAAACTTTATTTATGACAGAATTCATATAACGCTAGTTAAATAAATTAAAACAGTTAAAAAAAAGATAATAATCTTAAATTAATGTGGGAGTTTGTGAATGCGCATGTATTTGAGAGTGTAGCTGAAAGTTATGATCGTGCACTGTGTCTGTGTTAGTTTTGAGACCTCAAAGTCATAATAAGATATGGAGTAATGCCTCTGTAGATTCGAAATCCAATTTGGCTAGTGTAATTTCTATGTGACTTGCGAGTTTATATCTGGATAGATTAACGATCTCAGAATCCAAAGATTTGGAAATTTTATTATAAAGGAAGGGGCCCCTAAATGCAAAGGAGCGTTCACCAAACACAGCCATTGTATATTCGGCGAACTTTCCTCTGCTACGCAAAATCTGGCTGTATTATGTGTATTACCGAGACTAATTTGTTTGATTAAAAATTTCAGTGTTTGACAGACGAACGCCGGAACAATGCAAGCCTTACGAGTCGAGTTTCAGTGAAGGATGTCCACCAGGTCCGTTGTTGTACTGCATACTCACTTACATACAAAGTATAATGTTCGTTTCTAAAGCACTTATTGTATACATTTCTCATATTTCTAGCGGACTGGTGCATCGGCTGCACAGTATGTGATTGTGACGCTAATGGGAGGTGGGATTGTCATATTTTAAGCTTCTGCCCTGACAGTAAGTAATATATAGGATATAAAAATAATAAATTAATAATGTTATTAAACTCACGAAATATAGTTGTAAATTATATTTATTTACAGAAAAAGGCAATAAGCAATTAAAAAAAAGGAAGAGACCGTATAGAAGTAAAAATATTAAAAGAAATAATATAAAGGACGAGAAAGCAAAGAAGAAAGATATTTTCAAGAAGATACCACCTGAAAAAATCACACAAAGGGGAAACACAACAAAAAAGTTTATTAATAAAACGCACACAAAGACATCTTCTAAAAGGTCGCCTAATCTAAATGGAAAGACCATACAAGGAAAAAAGCCGACTCAAGTTAAGAAAACTACTAAGAAAATCCAGAAAGCAACAACTAAAAAGGCAATCGACTCAAAAATTATAAAAAAGAAATCAATAACAAATCAACAAATGAAAAGGAATGCATATAAAGAAATTCTTCAGAATGTAAAAGAGAAAAATGATACCTATAAGTTAGCTGAAGCAATTGTGAAAAAAGTTATGTCTAGTGTGGAAAAGCTTATGAATGA